TCTTCACCAACGCAGCCTGCCTTGGAACATCCTTTGTAAGGGGCAGGCGTTCGGCGCAAGAAATTAGGCCGCGCTCATCCAACGCCGGAGCGCAGGGCTCAGCTTGTTCACTCCCACTGTTCTTGAAGGGTCCCATCCTGCTTCAGTCAGGTTCATTCCTTCTTTAAGGCTTTCGGTGAAAGCGCCATCTTCAGATTCTAGGACAAGGTCGTTTCCTGGAGACGGACATGCAAAGGTTTGTGGTCTGGCGATGTGACGCCGGGAGGCCTTAGCAACTGTGATGTCGGTCGTCCGCGCGGCTGTCTATGTTGCGGATCGGCTGTGCTCCTGCCGCGCCAACGGGGTTGGATCTTGGAACCTGCGTCGTTGTTGTAGAAGGTACGAACGCGCCCATCAGCTTTGTGAAGGCGCGCGCGACGGTAACGTTAAGTCAGAAAGCATGGCGCGAAAGGATTAGCGCAAAGCCGCTCGAGGGTGGCCTGTGGGAACGCTGCCACCGCAAAACATAGATGCAAAGAACAATCGAGAGTAGCTGCATCGTAGTCGCATGACTACCAGTGTCGAAGGGCTATACAATACTGCAATCATGAAAACTGGAAAGTCTTTGCCAACGGCCAGCGCTGCGATGACATCAACTACTCGGCCGCACCGAGCCGGTGCACGATCTTCTGGAGGGCCGCGAGTACAACCAGAACAAGGCCATGGAGGGTTTCGAGGAGGTGGACAATTCCCGGACACCCCGCGTGGTGCACCAGAACGGGTATGCGGACGCGCTGGGCATCTTGCGCCGCGGCAAGCTGCCGCCGCAGCTGAATCTGGCGCTTAAGATAAGTTCGCGGACACTACGACCGCGCTGTGGAGCGAAAACGCCATGTCCGGTGCACTGAGCACTGCCGTTAAGATCCACGTCCGAGTTCTGGCCTCCCACCAGGCAGTGCTGGACTTGGCGCTGGTCGAGTCCTTCAACCGGGCGGCGTGCCGACGGGCGTGGCGGAGCGCAACCGTCAATGTGGTATTGGTGCACGGTCGCTCCCGATGGCTCGATATTTTTGGCGGCTTCACCCTACACGTGGCCTTGTTATTGTTGCTTGTCCTATTTCAACGGGGACGTTTTTGGGTATTTTTTGATCGGTGCTCTGGCGTACGCGGGGTCGCTCCCGAACTTCAACTTTTCAGGAGCCTTGATGGCTTTATCGGCGAAGGAGATGAGCAGGTGCGCTTGCTTCGACATTTCGTGGATCTTTTTTTTCCGTACATAGCTTGCGCGGTGTTGTATGTTGGGCATAGTTTCACTCGAATTCGGCTTTCGTTTGAGGTGCTTCGGCTCTTCTCCCAATCGATGATTGGTCAATTGAGACTCCTGTTTCCTGACCAGTCTCTTGTTTTGACTTGGCCTAGAATATCTTTTCTGCGGGTTTGTTGAGATTCCGAACCTGACTAGTGATGCCACTAAGTGGCTTCAGACGTTGACGTGGGGTTTCTCGATTTGTTGAGTCCTTGGTCTCCGGATTTTTCAACTTTTCGCCACTGGCTTTCATGTCAGTGACGGGCAGCATCCTGCCCCCTTGTGTCGAAGATCCTTGTGGGTGTTGTGTTTGTTTTTTGTGTGTTTTGTTTGTGTTGGTTGTCTTGGGTTTATCTTCGACACCGTTTTTGTCTTTCCTCATCTTTGCGCTACAACAGCGGACTGGCGATATCGCAACGGCCGCGTGGATCAAACAAAAAAAAAGCAAGATGCAACGCACGATCCATCAGAAGTCAAGCATCTGGGTGAATTATAGCGACCTCACACGACCTCACCCCAAATGGTGGTTTATGTGGGGAATATCCCTCCCACCACCTTATTTCAGGTTGGTGAAATATTATAATTCACCTAGAAACATTGATAATGTTGATTCTCAAGAAACCACCAACTGATCCACGGCTACAGCACCTGCTTTGCCATCTTCAAATACATGCCATGCCACAATGCTTTCCTTCGTGTGCCAGCTTTGCACCAAAGTGGTGTCAAAGCGTTCTGCTGGTTGTTTGTTGGTTTCTGTTTCGTGTACTGCGTTTTCCCTTTTTGGTGCCTGTTTTTCTTCGACACCCCCTAGCTCACTGCATCTTGCGCTACACCAGAGGACTGGCGTGATCGCCGCTGTCGCGTGGTTCACCGTGAGGGTTTGTTGAGTCTTTTGTCTCCAAGTCAGAGTCCTTGTTTGCTACGGTAGATTGACTTGTTTGTCCCATACAAGTGACGGGCAGCTTGAGGCTTTCTGGTGTCGAAGTGTTTTTGGCAGTCTGTTGGTGTTGGTTTTGTGTTTTTGTGTTTTTTTTGGTGCCTGTTTTTCTTCGACACCCTTTAGTTTAACTGCATCTCTTGCGCTACAACAACGGACTGGCGTGATCGCGTGGTTCAAAAAATAACCTTGACGGCTATTTGCAGACAGTATGTGGCCTACATTTGACGGACCAAGGAGCACACTTGGTTGTACTTCAAGCGCTTTGTGCAGAATTGATGACTGGCAATACTGGCGTACTGGGTTCACATCTCATTGGCGGTGGTACCCAGTCAGGTAGACTGCTGGAGATCTCATTTGGCCGTTGTGTTGTTGCGCCATTTCCCCCCTTTTCCCTGGTTTGCTGTTAGCTTTTTGCAACTTCCGTACACACGAGTGGAGCGCGGTGTACACAGTTCTTTTTGGGCACTTAGGATTTTCACTTAATTCGGTTCCTTCACCGGCTTTTCCTGTGCTTTCTGTAACATAAAATCGCCTTGTTCAGGCTCTTGTCCCCCGGTTAAGCTTCGTTTTTGGTGGAGGTTGTTGTGCTAAGGAACTTCCCCTTTCCGTAGCCTTTATTTTCATCAGTTTTTTTGCGCTGGAACAGCGGACCTGCTTGATCGCAAATGGCCTCACGGGAAAAATATCCACACAAGTTTCGCCGCGGTCAAGACAGATTCGCACGCCTCCGTGCAAGATCAAGACAGATTGGCACGGCGCCACAGCAAGAGCGATCTGACACGCACGGGTCAAGACACATTTGCACTGCCACAGCGAGAGCGATCCGACAGCACGATTCCGCAGAGGGGTACGTTTCACAAGTTCCCGTCGGGCCTAGAAAAACAAAAAACAATTGAAACAAATAGTTTAAGATAGTAAAGTGACACCCGAAAAGTTAGTTTGTGCAGTTACCCAAAGAGATAGCTTGTGTTTTATCAAAAGATAAAGTAGCACAGGGGTCGCGTATTGGGCTTAAACTACAGTTAAGGAAACAGCAAGTGCAAGCACGGAGCTGCTACCTTTTCCTTTTGGAGCGCACGCGTAGTGCACAAAAGGGGCTGCAATCACAAGATGCAGTTCATGGCGTGCCGTCTCTACACAGCTAAGCTACACAAGAGCTATGTAGATTGCCATTTTAGGAAGGTGAAGGTTCGCATAAGAAGTTGGCAGGTGAAATATGGCATTTGGCAGCGTTTGGCAGGCGAAGTATGGTTGTGAAGTTGGCAAGTGAAGTTGGCAGGTGAAGTAACTCTCGAGAGGTTGACATGAGAAGTTGTCAGTTGACGTAGCTGTAAAAATTGGCGTGAGAAGTTGGCAGGTGAAATTTGCAGCCGCTTTGAGAAGAAAACAAATTCTCGGAAGGAGGAAGGTGCACGTACTCCATCATTTTCTGAGCCAGAAGTTCTGGTCCTACCCCAGGGCAACTGCAGTGCAGCATCAGTTTTCCCCTGCTTTTTGCTTAGAGAACGACCGGAATATCTAATACAGATATATTTATGAATGACTATTGCATGAGATTTCGTAGAGCGATAAACATGTTTCATGTGCAACATCATTCTGCTTGATCGAGGCGCGCAACCTGTTCCAGGGGGCGCAGTTGCTCACAAATTGTTTGCGGGCAAACTTGTTAAGTGGAGCGTGTTGCGAAGCTGCCTCAATCTTCAATTTCAATCACCGGGTACGGCGGCGACTTTGTTTTTGTTATGGCAGGGACCTTCGTGGCAACTCAGCATTGCTTTGCAAACGCCTTCGTACATACAAATGTGCACATACATATGCATATACAGTACTCCAGCCCTTTTCTAAGCAGAAAACACACTGTACTGCATTTGGTGCTGCTGGCTCGGAGAACGTGATCCCCCCCCTTCACTGGTGAATTTATTCAGGAATGTACTAACGCAGCATGAAACCAATGTGACTGAGCCAAAGTGGGACTCGTCCGGGCAGCTCTATCAATGCGTGGCAGTTGGCTGCGTATTGTGCAAGCGCAGAAAATGTTTGAAGATGGTTGTGAATGGGTTTGCGGTTTGTCTGAACTGAAACATTCGTTGCAATTGTTCTATGAACAGATGCCATCATTAAGCAATTCTTGAGAGATGGTTTCAAGTGTTGCTGTTCTGCAGTTGATCGTCTCCATTGGTGAACATGTTATTGCTGGACGGGCTGTGTCCTATTTTGTGCCACAAATTTTGGGGTGTGCGGCTGCACCTCAATGTGAATCAGAATGGTCTGCCTGCCGTAAACGATGTGGGTTTTGCGTTTTGGTATGTTGCTTGCATACAGTATTTCTGCACTCTCGCTCAGCTTGTTTTTGTTTTTGTTTTTAGTGTTTCCTGTTAACCTGTTGTGACCCCGTCTATCCATGAACTGTCATGCAGGGAGGACCATGAGCACCGGCTAAAGCCACCAGCTGCCAAGTAGCGGATCTGAAGGCATGCGTGCTTCGGAAGTTTGTCGCGTTTGAAGCTCAATCATATTCGTCACATTGAATCCTGCCCAAGTATGTTTTTGTATGATTTCGATGTATTCCGTCGAAATTGCTGCAATGTCCACACCTATGGAAAACACAACACATGTGATTCAATGGCAATCGTGTCAACGTCCGTGATCAGGAGTGCTGACCGTGGCGCAGTTCTTCCGTAACAGCTGTTAGCATCGGATCGATTTGTTGATTTTGTGGACGAACCACACCTAAAAAAATTATAGAACTTCACGGTGTGCTGTGCACATTCTTGCAGTGGCTCGGCAGCAATACCGGATAGATCAAGCTGTGGCTGCTGTGAAGAATGTGGAGAGCTCAGTTCGCAGACTTTTGGCCCAACTTGATTCGTGGCCGGCAGTGCTCCCAGTTAGATTGGAGGGAATGCAACGAGGCCGGATGACGACAAATCCAACGCAGGTGTTGGGCTCTCAGCGGCGTGTCCTTTTTTTTTAAATGGGCGGTAAAAGCTTTTTAACCAACAAAACTGCGCCCGGAGAGCCCCAAAAGCTCAAATCTGATTCTATCCGTATCCACTTGGATCTCCAAAAACTTGCTCCGTTACTCAGGTAGGGCTGATTTACCCTCCTGCTGACATCCGCGGTGCCAGCAGCTGAGTGCGGAGGATGACAAGATTTGTGGCTTCGATTTGGTGACTGTTTGGCAGCGACAAGGTCATCGACAAGACAGCGCAGTTCGTTGCGAAGTGCGGTGCGGGCTTTAGCTCTCATTTGTTTGGTCGCTTTTCGGCACCGGTAGATTTATCTATGTCAAATGCGAAGCAATGAGAAGCACTCTGAAGAGCACTCTGAAGAGCACTCTGGAGAAAACAGAATCATCGGGCTGGATGCAACTGAGTATCGTGTTCTTTGAGGAGAGAACTTCGAGCAGCGAGTGTTGCGAGAGCAAAATCACACAAAGCTCCTCGCTTAGTACGGGTTTTTGTGAGCTGGCTGGCTGATACATGCTGACATGCAGATGTGATTTTCTGACATGCTGCGTGGGGTGCAAGGCTTCCATGACCGGACCAAGGTTTGCTTTCCTGTTGCCGAACAATCCATACAGGTGCCGCAAGTGGATTCCGATGGCCGCTTTGGTGCTTGAGGGTTTGGGTCAAAGGGTTTGGCCTGCTAGGCCTTACTACGAACAGAAGGTTAAAGAATTCAAGACCGGCGTCGTGGAGGATCTTGGAGCTCGGCCATGTCCACTCAATTGAGATGCCGGGATCCAGTGGAAATTACGGACGCTATGAACCTTGGCAGTTCGAACACTCCACAGGAGACGAAGCCTGAAGTGCCTCAAGCCATCATTGCCCAGATCTTAGTGCCTTGTTGCCTTGTGATGTGATATTCTGCGAGTCTAGTTTTGCCAGGATCAGAAGGCGAAGGAGGATGAGAAGAGGAGGAAAAAGGCCACGCGGATGAGACTAGCAGACATTTTAGTGGATTTTTGGCCCTTTGCAGGAGACTGTAATTTTCAGGCTGCATGAACTCTGAATGCAGGTGACAGGCAAACTGTGGAGACGGTTTTGGGACGCTGCCTGAATCGCTTGCGAGGAACAATTGAAGGCTCTGACTTTGGGCGAGAAGACACCTGGATGCAAGCAGTAGTGTATGAGCAGCAATGGAATCCAGCAAGCCGCCTCTCTATGCAAGCGCTTGCCGCTTTGGAGAGCAGATGGTTCTGAAGTTTTCTGAATCAGGAAGAAGAAAACTGCAAAGCCTCCGCCTCCTGACCAGTGACTCAGCCGCATTGGTTGCACTCCACAGGATATAATTCTTGACTCATGTGGAGGGATGAACCATTTTGGTTGACATAAACCTGCAATTCTTCTTGTTTAGAAGTTCTCAGTTATTATACTTGCCCAAGGTACGTCGTCAACCATCCCTACATCGTGCATGGCTGAGGAAAGCTTCTTGCAGTTATCACTGCAATTGTCTGAAATTGCCATTGCTGATCAGCCACTCCATTGCAGACATGTCAAAAGAAGAGAACCCATTGCACTGCGCTTGAAGCGAAGAGCATGAATCGAACGAGTAAGGCGCCAATGGACACTGATATCATCAAGCTGACAGCGCAGTTTGTTGCACGGAACGGTTGGATGCTCGTGGGAATGCAATGTCTCGCAGGGTTTGGTTGTTATGAGCTTTGTGGAAATGTGGAGGGGGGAGTCTCCAGAGAGGGGTTGGTGCTGCAGGTCAGAAGTTTTTGATCGGGCTGACGCAGCGTGAGAGCCGAAACCCGCAGTTTGACTTCCTGAAGCGGGAGCCCAAACAAAGCTTTCAGCTTTGCCATGCTTGGTGGTGTTCTTGGTGCGCAAAGCAGACCCATTTGTGTCATTCCGCGGAGGCCGACTCATGCTTTGTTCGGCTACTTCACCTCCTTGGTGGATGCCAGCAGCCAAGAAACTTTGCGTCTTTTCGTTTTCAAGCACTTGCCAGGCTGCATATGAAATTAGAATTAGCATGGTGAGGCGTACACCAAGTGCCTGATGCCCAACAAGGATGAGGTGCGGCTGAAATGCTGGTGCATCACGTGCTTGCTGAGGTGTTTTGTTTCACCTACGTGCATGCTGGTTCGCTCATTTCTTGCTCGAAGGTGGAGAAGTTGAAGAAGTGCATGAACAACATGCAGGAAGTGATGGATAAGGCGTGCTGGGTATTGAACTGGGCTTGTGCTTGCGCAAAAGCGTGCACGCACAAGAAGCATGACAGCATGAAGCACAGCCTTCTTCACTGTCATCTTTTGGCAATTAGCAGTTTGGCTTTAACTGTATTGTCAGGCTATGTCGCGCTTCCAGTGGGACGAACAGGAGGAAACTCACCGAGCCAGCGGGACACTCAGACAAGTTGGCACATGGGCATGTGTCAAAATAGGGGGACCTGACAAATGTTGCTTTCCTTTGGGTTTTTGTTCGGGGGCACGCTCAACCAAAAGCAATTCCGAAGGTCGTGAGGAGGAGATGAAAGAGGAGAAGGCGGCCGCCAGAAATGGGAGTTGCCCAAATGGTGTGACCTCCTTTGGGTATAGCGAAACCAAAAGGACACCAACCATGTTCGCGAACCCGATTTCGAGAAACAATCAAAGAGTTATGGGAGTCATTTTCTTTCAGCCTCTTGACAGGAACAGATGGCTCAGATTGACTGGCACGATTTTGTCGTGGTGGAGACTATTGAGCGCTTGCCTTACTGCCTGACTTCGATTGAGACAAGCTGATGTCGTCTGGGTGGCTTGATCTCCCAACCCTCGCGAGTCTGCAGGTTCACGGGAGAGGATGATAATCTCCAACTGGTCTTTAGCTTGGGATGTTATTATGTGAAGCATGCAAATGCTCAAGCAGCGGGAATGCTCCCAGTCACCTGTGGATCGAGACGCACCTTCAGGCTGCGCCAATAGATCCTTCCACACATGCTCCAAAGGGAGCACCGGCACCTTTGGAACAAGCAGGCTGATGTTTGCTCAAGAAAGGAGTTTGGAATGTGCCGACGTTCTGGGGGTTTCTCATTGGGATCCCCGAAAGTTGTTGGTTTACTTTTGGTTACATGTTTTCAAGACCCACCAAACGGCTCCTCCATCTCGAATCTTTTTTGATGGTTCTGGCAGGCACAATGTTCGCGGAGGCGAGGATTGAGAAGGCCAAGGGTGTGGAAGAGGAAGTGAGGGTGGTTCCTGCGCGCTTGAGAACCAAAATCCAAGCCTGTCAAAACCAAATCAAAGCGCCAGGAAGAGCCGGCAATTGACCTGGAGAAAGAAGAGCGCGAAAGGCGGGAAAGAGAACGCGAGGCCGCCTGAGGCTCAGACATTCGGCCAAAGTGAATGCGAAAAAGAAGAAAAGCATCAAGTGAAAGCCAAGGAGCAAAGGGAGCGCGAGGAAAGAGAACGCGAGGAACGGGAGAAGGAGCCTAAGTGAGCATGTGACATGTATGCCATGGGGAGATAATGATTGATATAGAATTGGGGCCAAACATTGCAGGAGGAAAGAGAAAGGCAGGAGAGAGAAGCAGAGGAAATGGTGCCGTCCTAGCATATGTTCAGCCAACATTTATTCGGCAGGGGTCTGGCTCTCAGGTGCCAGATGAAGAGCCTTTGGACATGGAGCCTGAGATCCCCCTGCCCATGCAGGAGCTTTTCGCTCTCGATACTCCTACTGGATTGTGCGCATTTTGGTTTGGGTCGCTCGCTTAGCTTTGTGCTTTATGCAGGAACCTGAGATGAAAGTCCGAAAGGACTACGTCCGACAAAAGAAGGCAAGGTCATTTGGAGCTCTCGAATGATGGCTAGCAGAGATCACTGGCTGGCTACTCACGACGACACAATGACCCAGATGCTGCCCTGCAGTGCCGCATGCAATGAGTTGCTGATCGTCCAGGGAAGTGCGGCGCGCTTGATGCAGCGGTGCCCGATCACAGGCTAACGTCAATTGATGTCTTGCAGTCGTTGCAGTGCCACAATTTTGTTAGCCAGCATAGCAATGCGGGTAGGCCAGCTCATTGCGGCAGAGGAGATGTCCAACCACTTGAAGGCTTGGAATTGCCAATTGAAGCATTGGTGTTTGACATGCTGAAGCAATGTTGATCATCTTGCACTTGTGTCAGCAACTATTGCTTGGCAGGTGCTGTTGCTGGATCCGAAGTGGAAGCATCAGAAGGATGCCTTGGTGGAGCGAGCAAGGACACCCTGAGCTGAAGTCACTTTCTTGAGCACGTGACTGTGCTGCATGCCAGCGCACGTTGTCTTTTTCGCCAGGAAGGAGTCCGCCTTCGCGGATGATGTTGAGGCCAACTTGGCAAGCTTCGTGGCCAAGAGGTGCCTCGTCATTTTGTTCATGCAGTGCAATCACAGACCTTGGGTGTATTTGGGGGTCTCCGTTTTGAGGCTACCCTTCCAAGGTTGGTTTAAAAGGAATCCAAAAAGGTACCACCTACTTTTGTTATTTTGCTTTTTTGTGGGGCTATTCTGACACACACACACACACACATTTTGCTATCTATGGGCCTATGGGTCCCAAAAGCGTAGGCCCGACTTGTTCGGCACAGTGGAGGAGGAGATTCGCGAGGCCGCGGAGGCTGGTGCCGAGGCAGCAGCGCGAGATGCCGGCGCAGATGCTGGTCCTGTCTGACCCCGAGAGAGCGACGCGCGAGCAACCCGTTCTGGTCCAGTGGTTTTGGTTCTTTTTTCTTGGCAGATGGCAAAGTGAGGCCCACACAATGGTTCCGCCAACTGCATACGAAGCACAGCCCAAGAAGGCCCTCACAGGAGCTGCGTGCAGTCCTCAGAGCGGATGTGATGGGCTGTACTGTCGGAGTGATGCGATTGAGGGCTGGTGGTGGAGCTCTTCCTGCACCATCAATGCAGGCACAGCCATCAATGTTAGAATTTTTCGGTTTTTGTTGCAGCAGCCGAAGCGTTTGCAGGCCCTTCCCGGTGGCCAGCAAGGCCCCATTGCAGGTGTGTCCACCATCAATGCAAGGCCGCATGGAGTGTTAGCAGACAAATTGAATGCAGCATGCCATTTCAATTTACGCTTCTTGAGAGGCTTCCCCAGGCCTCGCTGGCGCACCAATCGCAGGCTGGGGGTTGGCTGGCGAGCCGGTCTGGAGGGCTGGAGGGTGTGGGGACCTTGGCAGGGCAGCGGTCCTCCGGGCATTCGCCCGCCTGGCATGCTGCAAGGCACAGGCGTGGCTTACACCAGTATCGAATTGCACCAGCTGTGAGGCTTGCAACTTGCAGTTTTGAGCTGTAGGACCCATGGCTCTTGCTGACGATGACGACGATGATGAACCCAACGCCAAGAAGCCTCGGTTGGACGATGGGAGCCTTGTGGCCGAAGAGACATGGGTCCGTTGCTCAGCCTGTTATCTTTGTGCTTGCATAGAGGTTGTTTGGTGATTATCCACAATTTCCGTCGCGTGGAATTGGGCTTCCCGAGCCGGGCTCGGAATGTTTGACAAGCCAAGATCAGCAGATTCCCGACGCCCATCACTTTCATCGTGCAGGTGGGTCAGCCAGTCGAGAAGCTGACATCAAGTGCTTACCCCTCAGGTGAATCTCGGGGCAGATGCCCAGGCAGCGGGCATCCAGCCAGCGATTCCCATAGAAGTGTACAATCCCCAGCATATCCATGGAATCCATGGAATCTGTCCATGAGGACAGTCTTTTGCAAGGTCTGTGCGAAGCAAAGTTGAAGACTTGAAGAAGATGCTTCAGCCAAAGGCCGCATTTATCATTTTTGCAAGGACCATCTTGCAACGTGCTATCAGACTGGTCCACGGCATTGTGACCAGGTGGCGGCTGCTGGCGTGAACGTAGCCAACATGAAGCTGAAGGCTCTTAAGAGGATTGCCACCCATCACGCTCCCAGCATCACTGCGTGATGAGGTCCAGAACTCGGGTTACATCCTGAAGAATGTGGGATGCTGAGTTGATGCAGCTTGTGCCGGCTCCAATCCAGTCGGCAATGCCGTCTCTGCATTTGTCATGCGTGAGCCTTCCAGGCTCACACGCTGGCCTTCTACAACATCGCGTCTTGCGCTTATTGCGCCTATATGGGGCGGACTTGGGAAGCCTAGCATGTCTTTGCGCAAAACTCTTTTGCCACAGCAGAGTGCACTGGAAGCTTGACACAACGCTGCAGAATAGTGCTGTGCTGAATTCCAAGTGCTGGTGTCATCATCGAGCTCTCCAGAAAAACACGTGGTGGAAAGTGATGCACTGACGCCTGCTTCTGTCTTTACTGGATGTGGATGTTCATTTCAGTTTTCTTGGCTTGAACCATCGTATAGCAATTTTCAAGCGCCGTTTCCAGGCAAAGGGCAGATGTTGTGCTGCGCACCATACAGTGCACAGTGCCAGCTGTAAGATCTCAGCAAGCTATCAGGGTGAGATCGGTGTTTCATTCAACGAGTATGCGCGGATGCTCTCGCAAAACAGCGCGCTCTCGCCATATCTCCTTAGGATTTCCTTCCAGAACACGGTATCCATGTGTGTTGGTCATCATGAGTAGACTGTTCAATTGCCATGCGTCGTGTGATCGCAGCCTGTCGGATTGGGCAGGGACTTGCATTGTTGGCCAAAGAAGACGGAGGGGCATGTTGGCTTTCAAAATTATAGAATATTGGGCCTTGCTGCACTGAATTGCTTGGATCCATGGGTGTTTCCGTGGGGGTTCTGACGAAGGCTGGTGCTGAAACTGGGGTACGTGCTGCGTTTTCATTGCAGACCTCGCCAAATCCCGAAAACATGTCTATCCTCGCCAATTCTTCACACCCTGCTTCAATCGGGCTAAACGCGCCAGAAACGTGCTTAAGTGCAGCGGGCGACCTTGATAATTAGCTTAAATCCATAATTAGCCCCCCACATTGAAATGTACTCACATGTTTCAAGGTCAATAAAGGCAGCCCCATACGTCAAACAAAGTGGTGTGGGAACATCAACAACTGAGCCCATTTGTCAAGAGACGATGCAAATTGCTACTGTCACGCAACGTGCCTGTACAGTGAGACCAGCATTCTCACGACTTTTGCTCTGCTGGCTTGAGACTCAACATACGCCGCAACGCAAGTGACTTTTACTTTGGCCCAGCCAACAAAACTTTAGTGCAAAACTCAACCAACATGCCTTCAGTGCGGCTAAAGGGCGGATCAAATTCCTCAAGTGCAAGCTAATCAACCGGCAGCCAAAATTCCATGAGTGCAGCCAAAATTCCTTAAGCGCAACCAAAATTCCTTAAGCGCAGCCAAAATTCCTGAAGCGCAGCCAAAATTCCTTAAGTGCGTTAATTAGCTTAAATTCAGGGGGGGGGGTGCACAAAACGATTTTGACCCTGCTCGACATAAATTTGGTGGTGAATTTAGTGGTTTTCGGGCTCAAAAGCGCTGTTTCTGTTTCAGCATCTAAAACCACTACATTCACTACCAGATTCATCTCGAGCAGGAGCCAAAATCCTTAAGTGCACCCCCCCCCTGAATTTAAGCTAATTAACCCTGCACTTAAGGAATTTTGGCTGCACTTAAGGAATTTTGGTTGCACTTAAGGAAATGTTGGCTGCACTTAAGGAACTTTGGCTGCACTTAAGGAATTTTGGCTGCCGGCTAATTAGGCTTAAATTCGGGGGGGGGGGGGGTGCACTTGAGGAACTTTGGCTGCACATGAGGAATTTCCGGCTGCACCGCAACAGTTTTACTGCACGTGCTAAAGGAAATTCGTCTGCACTCAACGAATTTTGGCTGCACTAACATTCTTGGCTGATCAAGGCAGGAGCTCCCCCTTGATTACTAGCTGCCCTGACTACAGCACCATCTCCATACCTGGACCTTCCGACATGTAAAATTAACGCCGTTTCCCAAAACAGCAATATGTTTTGCCGGTTGCTGAAAAAACCGCTCTTTCTGAGAAAAAGCGCTCGTCGTGAGTCCAGCTCGTGACCAGGCAACAAAAAACTCAAAAAACAAACAAACGCCGTTTCGCCGGCGAATAACGCCTTTTTGACAGCAACTTACGCCGTTTTGCAATTTTGATGCTGGAGTGTGCAAACACTGAAACTGCCGGCAGGCGGAAATCATCGCCGTTGGGTCAAAAAACATAGTTTTTGACAAAACAACAATAATTTTGCACATGTTAGAAGACCCAGGTATGCTTAGCGAGCCCTATCAACCATCATCCAGCATTCCCGCAAATCCTTGCCATCACTCCCCATTCGGCAATATGTGCCACCACGGCGAAAAAACAACAACATTGTGCACTTCTGACATGGGAGCGACACGGCTCGGTCCCACCATGTTAGGGTTGCTCAATGATTCAGCAAAAATTGCTCTTGTCACGCAAAAAGCCACCGAACCGTGCAAACAATAAGCAAGTTCCGTGGTTTCAGAAAACGGGCCGACTCTTAAGTACACGGCCCCCCTTAAATCCATGATTTTGAAGGATTTCTCGACTCAGCGAATTTGCCCCCTCGGGGTAGTTCAGCAATCAATTAAAAAAAAGTGACTCCACAGGATTTGACAGGCTGCCCTTCCAGTAGTGAATTGCTTTGACGAAGGCGTTTGCATCCATTGTTGCTGCCAAATGCACTTTCTGTAGCGCAGCCGGTTTTTGCATTGCTTTCACGAGTGCCCAAAAACAACAATAAACATTCAATCGTGTTCCGGTTCTGACATGTGCTCTGATCAGAGGTGCAGACACAGGAGCAGGGCTTAAGTGCACGGGTCGGACCTCGAAATTAGCTTAAATCCATAATTTTGAAACCCCACAGAGGGGCATGTTAAGAGTCATGCTCACGAGGTAACATTTTTGCCTGTCAACTGTTTTTTGGCTCCTAGTCTGTCTTCTCGACCCATTTGTTGACCAGCTGCTGGGCGCGTCGCTGATGATTTTCACTGTGGTTCTTTGGCTGGCTGCAGCCTCACTGCTGCCTTCGGAGTCGATCACTCCCAGCACGGATACATGTGAGCAACTCAGCCATTGCTCGCCATCCCAATGCCAGATGGTTTCCAACTCAGCATGCTCCTTTACAGATCCCAACATCGACTGGGCTGAGCTCATCGGCAGCGTGTCTTGCAAAAGTTGCACGCAGAGTTCTGACACCAAGTGCTCAGTTTCCGGAATTCAGGAGGTGTTCAACACGAGTGCAGAGTCTGCGGTGAAGGCCGTGTACTGCAACGATAACTTCCTGGTTGTGTGGTCAGCAGGACGGCCTGCCAGCGATGCAACGTTGGCACAAATCCCACGGCCTCCAGGTGGCGGTGGGGGCGGTGGGTATGCAAATGAGTGTGTTACCAGGTCAACCATCGAGCAGTCCCAGACTTATAAGATACCGCTAACACCACCGGAGGATGAGTCCTATGAGTGGACTCCAAATCCTCCAGCAGGAGCCACAGGGGTGAGCAAGACAGGGGTTCCCATTTATCCAGGCCTGGATAATGGCGGGCATTGGGTCTGGGATGTTTGCGAAGCCGACAAATGCAATGCGCACGTTGGCCGTGGAGGCGATTACCATTTCCATGGCGACCCTATAGGCACTTCCTGTGTCTACACCATGGATGACTACACCGGCAATGACCCGCACTCTGTGAAGATTGGCCTGGCGTTAGATGGTTATACCATTTATGGTCGGTACACGGCATCGGGCCAGCCAGGAATCGACACTGACCTTGATCTTTGTGGTGGCCATTCGCATGACACCTTTGGCTACCATTATCATCCAAGTGTAGAGAGTCGGACTGGCTCGAGTCAGATGGTTACGGAGACCTACACAGCGTACTACATGGCTCCAAAGAAGTGCTTTAAGGGCAAAGTGAGTAGCATATCCAACTTTTATGCTGATGCTTCCAAGCCCTATGTGCAAGATGGGATGGATGTCGGGCAACCGAATTATGACAATACTTTGGCCTCCACCAAGTATGATGTCAGCAGCCGCACTGACTACGAAGACTTAAAGCCGTGCTGCTCCATGAGCACCTATTGGGCAGCAGCTGGCATTAGCTTCGACACTTCTGGGAATACCGGGAAGGACGGAACAACCGGCACAACCGCAGGTGGCACAGATGGCACAGGTGGCACAGGTGGCACTGGTAGTGGTGATGCCCTGGGTACCTGCTCAGGCACGGACGACCAGGGGCAGAGTTGCCCACCGGACTACACAGCTGCCAAGCCGTGTCCACCAGGCTGCACCACAGTGGTTAGTGATAGCTCTGCCACCACCACGGCAGCTACATCGGACACGCTGGGAACCTGCTCAGGCACAGATAACACGGGCAAAGCATGCCCGCCAGATTATACTTCTGCAAAACCTTGTCCACCAGGTTGCACAACAGTTCCCAGCGACGGTGCCACTGCTATCACCACCACTGGTGGATCAGCAAGTTCCACAGAGTATGAATATACGACTTCAAATAGCTTGGCCTACATGTGCTCTTCCAATGTGGACACCACAGGTAGGTTGGTGACATGTGGCCAGGCTGAGTATCCAGCCGGAGAGAATGAAGGCGTTGATGCGGTGGTCTCTTGCAGCTCAGGGACCATTGAGTGCTTTGTCTTCGCATCAACAGGCAAGGTGGGTGGTAGCTGCAGTGGTGATCCCTTCATGGAAGATCCTGCTGGCGAATGGGCATACTTGCCTGAAAGTGTTGGAACATCTTGTCAGAATCAGGCATCGTGCACAATCACCGTTGGCGATGGCACCTTGAACAGCGTAGCGACATCTCCCTCAACAGTTGGCTACGCAAAGAACAAGTTCAAGGCTGTCGCACTTTGCTCGAGCTCCGGAACAACAGGTGGGACTGACACGACTGCTGAAGGCAGCACGACTAGTGCAGGAGGCACGACTGGTGCCGGCACGACTAGTGCCTCCAGCACCACAGGTGCCACAAGTACTGCTGCTTCGAGCAACTCAGTTGGCACAACTCAAGACATCACCGTGGCAGCTGGCAGCATAAGGTGCTGCGCATTTGTTTCTGTGATTATTTCTCACCTGCTTAGCTTGTGATTGCCGGTTCCGTTTGTATGAATCTATGCAGGTCGCAAAGCGATTCAATGTGTTGCATGGCATGTTCCCCTTGTTTCAGCAGAAAAAATGCCGTGAGCTGCATGGCATGGTTGCCCGTGAGCCATACATTCGAGGCAGTCTCTTTTGCTTTATGACAAGAGTTGCCACTTTTGATGCTTTAGTTGCCAGCACTGATAAGGATCAACCGTGCCTCAAGTTCCACAGGAGGGCAGCTCTACTATTTGGCATCATGTCTTTGCTTGTGAACATCAAGGGCCGCGCTGAGTGCTGCCTTGCTTGATCAGCATGTCAGTCGCTCTCACACACCAATATGATACATCCGCAATGAGTTGAATCCCCAGCTGTAGTTCATGAACGAGCAGCTGCAAGGCATTTCAGTGCCACGGGGACAGCTGCACTTGCAACCCATGTTGTGTGCAACATCGAGGCAAGGTTTCAGATATGGTTTCCAACAACTTGCTCTCGCTAGCGCAACGAGTTTCCGACACTTGTCCAATTTCGCATTATATTGCATTGATCCCCCATTGAGCTTGTGCCCACTATGACTCAAGCAGCCGCCTTCCCGCCAAGCCCGAGCTGCTTGTGTCCATCATGGTTGTCGCTGCGCCGCGACTCTTAAGCTAGGGTTCCAGGGCTTGCCATCTTAGCGCCCAGCCGCTCAGCCGCTCAGCTGCAAGGAGTTGGCTTGAGACTGGACGAGTGGACGGAGTTACCTTCAATCGGCCACCAAGCACCCACAATTCCAAACCTGCTTGAATACGCCCGACCAGGCTCAGCCAGGCATACCATGACAAGGAGTGGAAGAACACAAAGAACAGAAACTGCACAAAACAAGAAGGGCAGGACGGACGTGGGGTTGTGGTGGGGTTGAGGTTGGCAATTTTTGAAAGATAAAGCATCCGATGGTTCATGAGCACCTTGGTGCTCCAAGAGTTTTACAATGTTGATTGTTCAATTTCGAGCTCTTCTTCAAAATCAATATTGGGCAATGTTTCATGCACAGCTGCTCAGCCAGACATCTGACAGACTGAGATATTCATTGCTAGCGTTTTAGAAAGCTGCAATCACGCAGGATTGGCCCAAGACACTTTCGTCGTATTTGCTGTTTGGCACAGGCTCTGACTGCAATAGCAGAGCAGTGCTCGGCTGGTTGCGAAACATGACCAGCTGCAAAACTTCTGTTTTGTGCCTGCTAGCAACAAGCGCCTGCTGGCATGGTTTGGTCAGCGCAACTGAATACACATATACGACTTCAAATAGCTTGGCCTACATGTGCTCTTCCAATGTGGACACCACAGGTAGGTTGGTGACATGTGGCCAGGCTGAGTATCCAGCCGGAGAGAATGAAGGCGTTGATGCGGTGGTCTCTTGCAGCTCAGGGACCATTGAGTGCTTTGTCTTCGCATCAACAGGCAAGGTGGGTGGTAGCTGCAGTGGTGATCCCTTCATGGAAGATCCTGGTGGTGAATGGGCATACTTGCCTGAAAGTGTTGGAACATCTTGTCAGAATCAGGCATCGTGCACAATCACCGTTGGCGATGGCACCTTGAACAGCGTAGCGACATCTCCCTCAACAGTTAACTACGCAAAGAACAAGTTCAAGGCTGTGGCACTTTGCTCGAGCTCCGGAACAACAGGTGGGACTGACACGACTACTGAAGGCAGCACGACTAGTGCAGGCAGCGGCACAACCAGTGCTGGCGCTGCCAATGTCTTCTCCACTGTTGGTGCTGGCGGTGCAGTTTTCGGGCTGCTGTGGCAGCTGGCAATGATATGCTGAAATGTATCCTTTCTGAAACTTTGCCCGACTGGGCTCTTTCAATGTTCCAGGCTTGGCACCGCCCGCGGGTGTAGCCTCTTTGTTTGAATTCAGAGCTGCGAAGTGTCGGCATGCTGCGAGGGTATCAGAAAGACTGGCTGCAGCTCCACTTCCACACGTTGTTGGTAGACAGGCTCTTGGCTTCTGGTACCAATGGCATGGCACTTTTTCTGGGCGGACAGGTCTGCCTCGTTTAGCCCTCAACAGGTGTCTTGCGTGCCCAGGTTTCTCATGGCGGCAGTTGCGCAGCAAACAGACACTGCTGCGTTTTGACCTTAGATCACACGTCAGGCCGAGTGAAGAATTGACGGTGAAGCTGAGGTGCGGAAGCTCCCATCTATCACTCGATGAGGTTCCTGCCATGGTTGCACACGAACCTGTTCAATAAGATCGGACGATGGGTGTCCTTTTTGGTTTGGTAAAATGTGATGGCCCTGGTTGACCTGGTTGCATAATCTACCAGGCCGTCCATATTCCCAAAAGGACACCCATGGATTGGACTTACCATTCCCGTGTCAGGTGAGTGCCTGTGACAGGCAATTGCCGGGCTGCGCCCCGAACCCAGCTCGCGAGGCAGCCTATTCTCAAAGTTTCAAAATTTCAAGGCTTTGTCCTCGCTGGAGAGCCTGATTCTGGTGGCTGACCAATTTCACAGGTGCGGTCAAGTGGCTGACCAGTTCCGTTTTTTTGCCTTTGCAAGATTCACCAGGAGAGGCTCGATCGAGTCGAAGGAATGCTTGGCAGCTCGGTGCTTAAAGATGGGTGCCAGGTCTGGGGAACGTGTGGGTCTTGAAAACTAAATTGAGTGCCCCATCCATAAGGCTGCGAGAGTCGACCGGAAGCCAAGGCCGGCCGTCAGTGCAAGCAATCTTTGCTGGGATTTGCTTAGGTGAATGTCGTTTTCCTTGACTGAGCTTGCCAACATATGCTTAACATCCTGCCTGAGGGATAGGTGTGCATCGGTGGGCATATATCTTGATGACACTGAGTGTTGCATTGCTGTGTTTTGCTGGAGGTTGAAGACTGGCTTGAAACCAAGCCCAAAAGGGGTCAGGTGCTTTGCAACAGTCAGAGTGGCAGAATGCGCTTGTTTCATGCTTCTATGTCTTACCAAGCGACTGGAGGAGGAGGTGGCTGGAGCACTGTGTCAATTCAGATTGCTGGTTCTGCTCAGGATGCTTCCATTCCTTCACACAGGGCCAAGAGGACACAGCTTGTGGAATGCTTTCATGACCGTAGATGCTCTTGGTCTCCAGACCCTCGTTAATGAGTCGACCCGTTAGGAGTGAAAGGCGGCGGGACGAATCATTTGAGGCTCCGGTGTTCCGGTTATAGCCAAAACTATGCCTTAGCCTGCAGGATGTTCCAAGATCCGGTCTACTCAGCACAGTAGTGCCCGACACTAGCCGCAGGGGCCTGGATGCATGTTGCTTCCATTCCTTCTACTGGCGTTTTGACACAGTGTAGCTCCAACCTGTCCTGGATAAGTTTTTGAGGTGCGAGCCAGCGCATGGCAACACCAGGTCTTTTTGAAGGAGGAGGAGCAGGCAGGTTTCAGGCTGTCAGGACGCGCTTTACATGATACTGCCACCCAGCAAACACACACACATTTGCCTTGCTCCTTTTTTCTTTTTCTGCAAGGCATGCTGATCCGGCAGTCCCTCCGGGCCAAGGGCAATTCCATCCTTTTGAAGTTGCCCGACCCAGAGGCTCGTGACACAAATGGAAATGCCGCTTGGACGACTGTTGAACCGCGCATTGTGTCACCACACGGAATGCCAATTGCCAGTGCAGGAATCAATTCAGAGTTCTGGTGAGCTGGCTAAGGCTGCGGAGCTTGTTCAAAACGTAGCGCCCACCCTGCTGTCCTGGCCTTTGATTTGCATTGCAAGAGCACCTTCTTTCGGAGACAGACATGGGAGTGTCTTTTTGAGGGGTCTCCATTTTTTGGTTTTCCTGTTTTTTTTCTTCTTTTGAACCCACATACAGTGGCCTTTGTTTGATCTACCGGACATGTCAGTGCCATTTTGCTGCCTTGATTGAGGCAGCGTCCGGCAGTCGAGGCTTGTGTGCTGACAGTGATGCAGATTGACATCGCAGACCATGTTTTTGATGAGTGCAGATGGAAAAACAAGTGCGGTAGCGATAGTATTGCTGTCTCATTTACAAGGAGAGAGCGCGCCACAATCGGACATCGCTCTTGCAGAGGTCCAATCGGGACCTTCGCCCGTGGCGCAGCGGGAGAGGAACGAGGACAGATGAAAATCATCCTTGGAACGTGCTTGGGAAAGTGCCCGCAGGATACGTTGGAGGCTGACCTGGTTGGAGCAGACCTGGCAGCCCTACTTTGAGGCGACGAGCCGGCAAGATGAAAGCCCTTGCTGCAGAAGTGCAAATATGGCTACCAGTAGATCGAAGCCGGTTGGCGGAAGTTTCAAAGCTATAAGAAGCATAGTTTTCTTTCCTTTTTCATGTTTTCTTCTCCATCTCTCTCTTTCTTTGTCTCCTTTTCTTTCTCTTTCTCTTTGTCTGTTTCTCTTTCCTTTGTCTCCTTTTTGTATTTCTTTCTTTCTTTCTTTCTTTCTTTCTTCCTTTTTCTTGTTCCCTTTCTCTTCTTTCTCTCGGTCTTTCTCATCTCTCTGCTCTTTTGCTTGTCTGTTTCTCTGTTTCTTTATCTTTCTCTTCGCGGAGAAATGCGTCGCATAGTTCACATATTCTCTTGTTCGATATGTCTATCCAGCTATCTATCTATCTATCTATCTACCTAATCTAATCTAATCTAATCTAATCTAATCTAGTCCAATCTATCCACCCATCCATCTATCGGTCAATCCATCCATCCATCTATGTATTTGTCTACCTATCTATCTGTCTATCCACTTATCCTATCAACTGTCTATCTACATTAGTATCTGCCTGTGTGTTTGTCTATCTATTTATCTGTCTGTCTATCTATCTATCTATCTGTCTATCTATCTATCTGTCTATCTATCTGTCTATCTATCTATCTGTCTATCTATCTATCTATCTATCTATCTATCTATCTATCTATCTATCTATCTAATCTATCTGTCTATCTATCTATCCATCCATCTATGTATCTATCTATCTATCCATCCATCTATGTATCTATCTATCTATCTATCTATCTATCTATCTATCTCTAACAAGAAGTATCTTGTCAGCTAACTTATGTATATCTATACCTATCTATCTTTCTATCTATCCATCTAACAAGATGTATCTGGTCAGCTAACTTCTCTATTTCAGGGCTGCCGCCCTGTTTGCATCATATCATGTTCTTCATCGCTCTTCTTTTTCATATATGATGATGAACATGATGGTGATGATCATTGATGATGATCAGTGATGTTCATCATCATCATGTTCATGGTTCACCATCAGCATCATTTTCGTCATCATGTTCTTCATCATGTTCATCATCATCATCATCATCATCATCATCCTGATGATAATCATCACAACGCATCCTCAGCATCACGAACGCATCCTCGGGTCCAACGGCGCACTTGAAACGTATATGAAGAAGAAGAACGATGATGAACATGCTGAGGAACATATGATGATGAACATGAAAATGGTGATCATCATCAATCATCATCATCATTTTCATCAATCATCATCATCATCATCATTTTCATCATTTTCATCATCCTGATGATAATCATCACTACGCATCCTCAGCATCACCAGCAGTTCACGTCATCACTATGCATTATCATGACAACGCATCCTCTGCATTTCCAGTCGTGTCTATCGGCACACTTGAAACGTATATGAAAGGAGAAGAGCGCCACGGTTTTGATGATGAACATGATGAGGAACATGATGATGCAAATGATGATGATGATGATGATGATGATGATGATGATGATGATGATGATGATGATGATGAACACAATGATGAAGCATGATGATGATGATGATGAAGATGATGATGAACATGATGATGATACTGAACACCACCATCATCACTTTCATCATAATCATCAGGATCATCATCCGGATCATCATCATCATCATCATCATCATCATCATCATCATCATCATCATTTTGATCATCATGATCATCATCATGTTCATCATCATCATCATCATCATCATCATCATCATCATCATCATTTTCATCCTCATGTTCAAAAAAAAGAGCGCCGCGGTAATGATGATGATCCGGATGCATCACCAGGACAAAGACCAGCCGTTCCCATGCGCCTCCCCTTTGGAGAAAGGGGTCGGCGGATATCTATACCTATCTATCTATCTATTTATCTATCTTTCCATCTATCCATCTATCTAGCTGTTTGTCTAACAATCTATTTATCCATCCATCCATCCATCCATCCATCCACCCACCCACCCATCCATCCATCCATCTACCTATCTATCCATCAAGATGATCTGTCTATCTTGCGAGATCTACCTACCTGCCTATCTATCTACCTATCGATCTATTTAGCTATTTCTACCTCTTGGTTTCTTTATTTGTCGATCAATCTGTCTTGTATATCTAACTATTTGTCTATATATGTACATTGGTATCTATCTATCTATCTATCTAGCTACCTGTCTAGCTATCTATCTACCTATCTATCAAGATCTATCTATCTAGCTATCGAGATGTTGAGATCTAAGTATTTCTCTGTCAATCCATCTGTTTATCCATCTATGTATCTATCTTTACATTAATCGATCAAATTGTCTGTCTAGCTCTTTGTGCGTCTTTCCATTGTCCTATCCATCTATCTTCTTAATCTTTCGTTCTACTTGTCTAATCTCACTACTGGCCATCTAGCTATCTAGCTAGCTATCTATTTATCCATCTATACCTGTGAAGCTATGTAGCTATCTTCGAGGATTTCCATCCTATTTTTGTTTATCTATGTGTCTGTCCTGCTTCTTTCCTTGAATACGTCTATCTATCTATACGTCTATCTATCGATCTATCGATCGATCTATCTATCTATCTAATCTATCTATCTATCTAGCTATCTATCTACCTATCTACCTATCTATCTATCTATCTATCTATCTATCTATCTATCTATCTATCTATCTAATCTATCTATCTATCTATCTATCTAATGTAATCTAATGTAATGTAATGTAATGTAATGTAATGTAATGTAATGTAATGTAATCTAATCTATCTAATCTATCTATCTATCTATCTAATCTAATCTAATCTAATCTAATCTAATCTAATCTAATCTAATCTTTTCTATTCTAATCTAATCTATCTATCTATCTATCTATCTATCTTATCTATCTTATCTATCTAATCTAATCTATCTATCTATCTATCTATCTATCTATCTATCTATCTATTTATCTATCTATCTATCTATCTATCTATCTATCTTATCTATCTATCTATCTATCTATCTATCTATCTATCTAATATATTTATGTATCTATCTATCTATCTATGTATCTATCTATCTATCTATCTATCTATCTATCTATCTAATTTATTTATGTATCTATCTATCTATCTATGTATCTATCTATCTATCTATCTATCTATCTATTTATCTACTATCTATCTAATCTATCTATTCTATCTAATCTATCTAATCTATCTATCTATGTATCTATCTATCTACCTACCTACCTACCTATCTATCTATCTATCTATCTATCTATCTATCTATCTATCTATCTATCTATCTATCTATCTATCTATCTATCTATCTATCTATCTATCTATCTATCTATCTATCTATCTATCTATCTATCTATCTATCTATCTATCTATCTATCTATCTATCTATCTATCTATCTATCTATCTATCTATCTATCTATCTATCTATGTCTTTTATTGTATACGCTTCGCGTTGCCCACCTCGGCCAGCCCGCTTTTGGCTGGCTTTGAGGCACGCGCCATGCTTTAGTTTGCGTGAGCTGGTTTTCAAGGATAGAGGGTGCATGTCTACTGTTTCCGCATGGCTTGAACGGCCAGAACGAGAGCTGCAGAGAGCTACAGAATGGCAGTGAGCCTGGGCCAAGCGGCTGTGTTTTTAAAATCAGCCTTTGGGCATAGATGGATGCACCTTTACTTGCACACGCGGTCTTTGGTGCTTGTTGAAGAGGGCCGCCCACTGCAACCATCTTTCCTTTACCCCGCTTTCTGGCAATCAGTGTTCTGCAAGGATTCCCTTGCAATTCGCTTCGCAGTATCCCCCTGAAAGATCTTCAGAATTCCCTCAGTGTTCGCCTAAGTAGTAACCTGCTAGTTGTTATGTCCCTAGCGTTACCCCAGTGTGCCTTTGGTATTTTCTAGTACACCTCCAATATTCGCTCCGGGTTCCCCTAGCTCCCACTTCTAGAGCTGTTTCCCCCGGCAGTAGTCCCCTATTCGATAGCACCCCCTTACCCCTAGAGTTGTATTCCCCTAACTTTCTTGGTGTGCCTCTAGTATTCTCCAAATATTCGCTAGTATTCTCCAGCATTCTTGTTTGTACCTCCCCTAATATCCTGCATCTGCGCTCCAGTTTCTGAGTAGCAAAGAACGAGGGGATAATAAGGGAATACCAGGGGAATAACAAGAGGAAATGCTAGGAGAAAGCTAGGGGAATACTGGAAGAGAAAACTACGATTACACCAAGAAAATACGAACGAATGCTGGGGTTACTGGGGGAATATGGGGAGAAGGCTAGGGGTATTCCAAGAAAATATTAAGAAATACTAGAGACATATTAGGGGAATACTAGGATAATACAACTACCGGGGGTAAGAGAATGCTGAAGGAATAGAGCATACTAAGCAGAATGCTAGGGGAATATTAAGGGAATTCTAGGGAAGTATTGTGAAATTAGGAACATACTAGGGGAATTCACAGGGAATAGTAAGGGACCGCTATATAATGGAATACTGAGAGAACGAGAAATAAATACTCGAAAAGCACTAAGACTAAAAACAATACAAGAAGTGCAAAAACCTCGAGAAACCAACAAAATAAAAACAGAAAACAAAAAAATCCCCCGAACAAAGCCGTGCAGGTACTGGTCATTTCCTCCAGGGGATTTTTTTCAGGTTTTCTTGTTCTGAGTTTTTCAGGTATTTCGCAAACGCAGGCCCCATGGCGGCCTTCTGTTCAGAGGGGATTTGACGACGGGGAATGTGACCAGTTTCTAGAGTGATTTGGCCGGAGTTGAGGGGGGGAATGCAGCGGTTTTTGAGGGGGCAAGATCCCTCTCTCGAAGAGGGATTTTGGCTGCGCGACATGGGGTCCGGGGGCGGGTTTTGTTGAAGCAATTTGTTTACCTGTTTGTTCTATCTATTTTGCATCCACCGATCATTCTAATCTTCTTTTCGAGCTGTGTATCTATTGTTTCTATGTATCTACAATGTCTATCAGTCTGTCAATCTATCTCCTTCTCCATCTATTTGTTTCTATTTGTTTCTTTATCTATCTATCTATTCCTCTATCTATCCATCTACTATCTATCTGTCTATCTATCTATTTGTTTGTTTGTCTATTTGTCTGTCTGTCTATCTACCTATCCATCCATCTATCTGTATATCTATCTTTGAGAGTGCTTCCCCTTGCGAACGTGCTTCGCCTACCACGAACTTTGCATGTGGCCTTGCGAAAGCCCTGCGCCGGCCACGGAATGTGTACCTGACCTTGCGAAAGTGCTGCGCCTTCGATTGCCAGCCCAACAAAGTGCTGCGCCTGCCAGGTAGTCTGCGCATCAGTTTGCCGAAGCGCTGCGCCTGTCACACAAAACTGACATCGCTAAAAGCGCGCGTTCACACCCGTTCCGCACCCGTTCCGAGCTCGTCGTCCGTCAGGCGTCGCGATCGAGGTAGCCTTCAGCGCTTGAGACGCCAAAGCCCGCAGAGTGTCGATTTGATTTCTCCCGGCACACGACCCGAACATTCACTATTTCTTAATCATATTTGTGCGCAAAACATCTCAAGCGTACGTTCGATGAATTGCAAGAGTTGGAACCGCCTCAAAAGTGGCTGGTGGACAGGAGTCACCACCTAAATGATGTCCACCAAAGGGTCCCTAACTAGCATTCCTGCCTATCTCTGCTATACAGTGCCTTCCTTCGTTGCCTGCACAGCGCTTCTTTTCGCTGCCCGACCAAGGTTCGAGGTGGACAGCGCAGTCGCAAGATGCGATGAGAGCAGTCCCCGTTGGGTAGACGTTGGGTAAAGCTTAGCGCACCGTGCAACGTTGAAAGGCTCCAAGCTGTGACAGCACTTATCACTTTGAAGAAACAATGCGTTCTTGAGCCTTTCAATGCCTTTTCCCTGAACCGTGCTGTATGCTCCATGCTTAGCAAAGCAGCAGTTAGCCCCGCGTCTCTGCCATTGTCACTGTTCACACCCCTGGCCAACCACTTTCCAGGCTTTCCAGGATATGGTTTGGCAGGCTGCATCTTGCCGATTCCAGCAGGTTGCTCTAACTTGTGAAACTCTCGACATGCAGATGTGCGGACTTCACTCTCTTGGATGAGCCTGAAGGCGAGTCTTGTTCATGCTTGCCACCCCTCGGTGTGCGCCCCTCTTTTCAGATGCCCGTGCTGGATGTGTTGTTGCTCTGATTTATGTTGCTTTGGTTGTTCTGGGGCAGATAACTCCTTCCTCCTGGTTAGGCTTGAACGAGCTGTGCTTTCAAACAGCTCGGGAGAGTCCGACCTTGGAGATGCAAATAAGATGGAATGGTGAGGGTTGAGAGTTGAATCTCTGGGTGTTTGTAGATCTCAACTTTCGCATTCAAATTCTCTCAACCCCTAGAGCCCGGAGCTGAAAGCTGTCGATTGTCACCAAGCTCTGTTTGGATGGAACGTTAGTTGGAGCATTCCCTTCAAAGATTCTGCAGGACTCATTCGGCACAAGGTGCGGATCATTGCCCAATTGCAAGAATCTTTGAGGGCGCTTCATTTTTGCAAGCTGCCTGCAAGGACATGGACGAAAGCTTGCACCGTAAACGTCTTACTCTGTGGAAGTTCCCACTTTGCTGCTATGGAGATACTCTTGGCACAACCCGCAAAGAACCTGTTTGGGTGGGACATTACTGCAGGGGTGGATAGTTCGCAATCTTCCTGCGGGAGGGTAGCTACACACTGCGATAACGACGGCCCGCGGCAATGTTTAATGCACCTGGTGATATGCCTCAGCTGCAAGTTGCGGCTTCCTGGTAAAGCAGATGCTCGGGACTTCATGCATGAGACAATTAGTGCTTTGAGAAGATGTCGGCTTTTTGTTCTTTGCTCAGCCTTGTGGAGGTTTTGTCTAGCATGCAAGTTGCCAACGCATTTGCGCAGCGAGGAGCTGTCTTCCTCTTCGATATGTCTGATGTGTTTGGCATAAACCCATGTGTTCCTTTTTTAAAGGGAATGTGAGATGGCCAGCTCGCTCAGCCAGTTGATAACGAATCCAGTAAGAATGTGAGCTGCGCGAGAGGAAACAAGCATGGTTTACAGTGGATGCCCTAAATATTGCAAGTAAATCAACCACACTCAACCGCACCACCATCATTCCCCTTATTGCAATATTTACGGCATCCAAAGTAGGCTGATGCAGGGGCAGGATGTCGACATGAGGAGCTGTCGCTGTGACAACACATTGAGACTTTGCACGCGCACACACACACACACACCACACGCGTACCATGGATTGTAGGTGTGCGTTATGCGGATCGCTTTGGTCCAAGATCAGCTTCATTTCATACAAGTCATTCCTGAAGTGACCACAGGTTGAAGCTGGACCTTGCCGCAGATTTGATTCTAGTCGACAGAGAGACATTGCTCACCCTGGAGGATTTCTTCAGACGGAGCTTTGTATCCAGTCCCTGCATGTCTTCAGCCACACCTCCGCATTTCTGAGGAGTGGCGGACTTTTAGCTCGGGAGCCATGACATGACTTCACATCCGTTTGTGTCGCCCCAGACGCGCTGGGCCACGGACGCTCGGATTGATTGCAAAACATTTTCAGTGCCATAGTGAGCTGTCTTGACATTTTGCTTCCAGCAGGGTTCTGATTTTGGGGCGACGTATTGTCTGTGCACACATTGTGGCGCTTTGGGCATCCTTGGCCACCCCATCTCAGTACCCTACATCCCAAGACGATTTCTTCAAATGAGCACCTTTCCCTTCCTCTTTCCACTCCTCCTTGCGTCTGTCTTTTTGTCCTCTTTGTTGTCCTTTGCCTTCGCCTCCTCCCTGGCTAAGCACACCTTTTCCTCTTCCGCTTCTCTTCCTGCGACTTTGTTTGCATCGACTTGACTTCTACCTGCACTTCTAGCTGACCAACTTTCTTCAGACACTTGCTCCAACGGTTTACACATATTTGCGCGTGTGTCGTGCCATTTGGCAACCCTTAGCCTGCCAAAGCCACCCCAACTCCAACCCTATTCCAAAGCAGACCTGGTCCACACTCCTTTAGTTGTGCTACCGACAAGTTGCGCGGGGTGTACCGTCCAAATGACCATGACCGAAAGCTGGCTGAAGTCTTTGCTTGCCCCATAAGCCAACAGGAATTTCAGGGGTTGACTGGTTAGCGCAGAAAGATCGGAAATCTCTTGATGAGTGTTGGAGCATGAATTAGGCGAGCAGCACGCAAAAGCCCCCAATTGGGTATTGGCTATTTAGCACGGTAGCTGGTTGCACCACATGGTCTTTTGGTGGCCATGGTGGGGCCTGTGAAAACCTTGACAGCTATCTTGGTGGAGCCAACAGTCAATGGGTTTTGGGCGCTGCTCAAGCGAACATTTGCACATGTCTTCGGCGCTACTTCTCTCGTTTGCCCTATTGCACTTTAGCTCGCTCCATTGTCAACTTAGTCCCCATCGGTCATATGCCCTAGCAAGACAGGTTGTAACCCACGATGTAGCCTTTTTCAGAAGCATGTCAGAATCTGAAGGAAGTATGTGTTCAATTCGCATGTAGAGCCTAGGCGCATTTTGAGTATTCCTCGCATTTCTTAAGGGTGACCAATGTAACAGCACTACCAACAGTGAGCAATTGTAAGCAATTCATTCATGGATTCATGGACTTGTTGCGACGATGCTATCAGCATCCTGAAAGTTGTGCAATTGTTTCGCTGCACATTCATAGCAACTAACATTGAAAATGGTGGCAACAGTTACATATAACCACCAGTCAGGCCCGCATCGTGAGTCGCATCTACACGGTTTCATTGAATTTTATTCATCTCTGAATATGCGGTGTATTTGATAAGCGCGCAAGTTCCCCTCCACACTTCTGTTTTGCATCTTTCTGTTTGTTAAGTGCTTCAGTTTGCAAGGCACTCCACCGCTGCATCAAGCGGAGCTGAGGTATGGGTTTGTGCAATAAACTGTGCGGTGTCTATTGTGAGCACTTGCCTCTACTACTCTGAGCTTCACCACTTGCTCCTTGGATGAGTTAGGTTCACGCATTGTGAAGGGCCTGTGCCTTGAGCAAAGAGAGTCTAAGGCACGATTTCCCATTCTTTACTGCCCAACTCAACGCAGCCATTGGCGCTTTGCTCGCATGGCTGTGGCTTTCGCTGCTGCCTAAAGATCCGTCGGCCTTGGAGCTGGGGGACCAAAATGGGGACATGGCTGGTTCCTTTTTGGACCCCCGAAGGTGCCGCCTTTTCAAGTGGACATCGACCACACGTCTTTGTTTGAGGGCTAAGGACAACTACAAGACGCCCCAAACAGGGGACTGCAGTGCATTTTTTGTGTATTTTTTGAGGTGTGTGTGTGTGTGCGCGTAAATATTTGTCTTTTCTGCTGTTCTAATCATTCCAGTGTTCCACAAAAAGCAACTCGAGAAAACCAAGAACACCAAAGCCACAAAAGCCCAAAGAATCAAAAACACTTCTCAGACAGTCTTTCCAGTGCATCAAGCCCCCAATAATTTAACAACTCCTCACACACCTCGAGAAAACCAGCTCTAATCAAACTTCTGAATGGATTCTTTCCCTATCAAATTCTGTTAAACTCTGATTGAATTGTACAGTTCTATTTGGCAAGGGTTTCTATATAAATTCCAAATTGAGGTCTAATTTCCAATCGGATTCGGATTACATAAATTTCCTTATTTAGTTCTACTTAATCTCTATTCAAATTCTACTTGAGTTTAGACGTTGGTGAAGATGTGAATTTGGTACACACACACACACCGCTACGAAGCACTGTGTTTTACAGTGCTTTCGGACCGTGGTAGTGCTGGGGGCTAGGTACACACACTCTTGGGACCTCTGAAATCCTTCCTTATGAAGTTCTACTTTTTCTTCTTCTTTTCTTAAATTAAACTGATTTCATTTTCTACCCGCATTTGAATATAATTTGGCCATGACAGAATCCAAGAATAAATTCTATGCTAAACTAGTTTTTAAGCAATACTTGTTCTATTTCAGATTAAATTTCAGGATTTCCGTTCCAATAGAATTATTTAACAAGCGACAACTAAACACAACTTATTCAGATGTGGGACCTCTCAATGCTTTCCTTATGAAATTATACTTAGTGTCTTTACCACACTCTACTCAATCAATAACTCAATTTCAAAAGAATTGAACAAGGACATAATCGAACCATAATTTCTATTTACATTGGAATCTATATATTATATGTCCCATTTTAAACTGAATCTTATACAGGAATTCATTTCCCATATAATCTTCTTTCCAGCCAGAAAAACACATAGGCTAAAGCGCCTCCAGTTTTGACCAGGCCCCCCTCCCCATGTCGTTTGCTGAGCCGAGCAGGATGTGCCGCTGCGCTCCTGGCTTTGGCTGAGTGCGCTGTTGGCCCTTCAGCGGCTAGGACAAATGTGGGGCGTCTTTTTTGAGGCTTGGGCCGGTACGGAGAACCAACAGGATACCCATCATCTTCATGGGTCCCATTTTTGGGGTTGACACACACTCATGTATGAAGCTGGAAAACATTGTTTGAATACAAAGTTGTTTTGTTTTTCAGAAGACCTTTTTTTCCAGAGTGCCGATCCAGACTCAGGAATTCTTTGGAAGTTCTCAGCATTGCGCGAGTGGGCAATGATGATTTGCCGCCGATTCTTCAGCAGGCAAACTGGTCCGACTGTTACCAACACGGGGAATGTTAAAAACTTGAGCATGCTTTGTGCTTTGTCAAATCAGACAGTGTATTCGATCTAAGCGGCTGACTGAAAAGAGCTCCCTGCAGGCTGTCGTGCCGCTGTCTTTGCTCTTTTCCTGGCTGAAATTGGGCAGGAGCTACACGAAGGCCTGAAGCTTTTGATTGCTACGTGCTGTTGGGGGCCGAGTCAGACCGGGTCAGATGATTGAACCAAGTGGGCACACGGCCATAGATTCTGACAGGCAAAAGATCAAGCAAGTGGAGCGACGTTTCGTTGTCTGGTGCTATGCGAAGAGTGATTGTCCAGGCTCAACTGGCTGGCGCTGTACTCGTAGTGGCGGGAGTGCTAGCTGGCTTTCTTCCGAGTCTACTCGCATCCAGCGCTCAGAGTCTGAGCTGCAAATTGGGATCGGTAGAATTTGCTGGCGCTCTGGTAACCTTATCAGGTTGTCTCTTTTTGGAGGTTACCTCCCGTTTTGCGGTTGTTCAAGGGAAACCAAAAGGACAACCACTGTTCGTTGGGGGGTGACTGAGTCCTGGCGCGCGAAACCTCAGGCAGATTGGCTCGGCCTGGGTTGCCGTGTTCCTTATTTCCAGGATTCCGCAGGCTTGCGCCAACATCCAGGCAGAGTCTTTGGCAGGAGGGATGCAAGCAGCGCCCTTGCTCCGTTGCTTTGAGCCTATGCAACAGGCAAGGCCCTTGGCATTGCCAGGACAGGGCATGTCATGGCCACTACGAGCCACGATGTATACTCAGCTTCTAGCCATGCGTGGTCCCAAGTTGCATCGTTCTGCCAATTCGCATGGACCTTGATGCCATGCTCTCGACAACTCAATGCTTTCATGCTTCTATGCGCGGCAACTCACGGATCATTCTAGACTGATAGGATTGGCCCTATCCAGGAGTCTAGGAGAGAGACCATTTGACTTCGTTATTTGAGAGGGGTGAGAAGACAATAATAGCTTAGCTGGCAATATGGGTTTGAATATTGCTTGTGTTTTTGGTAGGGAGCAATGAGCATGTCCCGGTCTGGGAAGCGTGTAGCCAAGATGGGTGGGCTCTGAGCAATGGCAATGGCCGCTATAGCATGATTGGCCGGACCAAGACATGGCCACCTGTCGAAGGCTGGGTACGTGCGGTAGCGGCATGTGCAATTTTCCTTGCCAGATGGTGCAAGCCTTGTTGGAGCTCCAACTGCAGAACTGGCAGATGTCAGCGCAGATGAAATGCGCTGGGTGGAGGACACAGTTTGCTGTGCCATGTCCCAACATGGAACCTGACTGAGGGGTCCTGGAAGACAGTTTTCTTTTAGAAGGTCTGGACAGGAGGGTATCTTCTTTCAACGCAGTACCGGCAGAACTGCGGCCACTGGCCGACTGCTCGAGTCTGTTTTGCTCGAAGGATCCTGACTTGCAGCTGCCAATGCGCAGGAGGAGCACGGGATTTGCGAATCACTTTTGCACTTAGGCTGACTCAAAGGAAACAAAGACAAAGAGAGTTTGAGGATGCACTGCTGCGACATGGTGACAGCTGCTTTGATTCCGTGGACAACATTTGCCCTGGCCTCGGGAAGGAACACGTTGCCTCATGGATGTTTTTTTTTTTTTTTTTTCTTTTTCTTTTTTTTTTCAGGCGGCCACAAGCTACAGGGGTTGCGGCTTCAAGTAGAGGGGAGAAGGGGTGTGACACGAAGAACTGGCAGGGTGTTGTCGTGCAGGGTGCTGTTGGACCATTAAGCAAGTGTGTTACAACCCAAGCAGCTTTTCGCCTCAAAACACGTTTAGCAATCTCAAAAACAACATTCCGCAAGCGCCTGATTCTTTCTCTCTCTCTCTCTCTTTCCCTCTTTCACTCTTTATCTCTCTTTCTTTCTCTTTCTCGCTGTCTCTCTCGTTCTGTCTTTCTACTTTTGCTCTTTCTCTTTCTCTCTTTCTCTCTTACTCTATTTTTCCATTTCTCTTTCTCGCTCTCTCTTTCTCTCTTTCTCTCTGTCTCTCTCTTTCTGTCTTTGTTTCTTCCTCTCTTCCTCTTTTCCTCGCTTACTCTCTTTTTTTTTCCTCTCTCTCTATCTCTCGCTCTCTCTCGCTCTCTCTTTCTCTCTGTCTTTCTTCTCTCTTTCTCTCTTTCTCTCTCCTTCCCTCTCCTTCCCTCTCTTTCCCTCGCTTTCTTTCTTTCTTTCTTTCTTCCTTTCTTCCTTTCTTTCTTTCTTCTTTCTTTCTTTCTTTCTTCCTTTCTTCCTTCCTTTCTTTCTTTCTTTCTTTCTTTCTTTCTTTCTTTCTTTCTTTCTTTTCTCTCTTTTATATCTTTTTTGTTCTCTTTCTCTTCCTCTCTTCCTCTCTTTCTCTCTTCCTCTTTTCCTCTCTTCCTCTTTGCCTCTTTTCTTTGCGTCCTCTATTTCTTTCCGTCTTTCTGTCATTCTTTTCTTTCATTTCTCTTTTTTCTCCACTTTCTTGTTATTATGCGTTCTTTCTTTCTTTCCTTCCTTCCTTCTTTCTTTCTTTCTTTGATTCTTTCTTTTCTTTCTTTCTTTCTTTCTTTCTTTTTTTCTTTCTTTCTTTCTGTCTCTCTTCATTTTGGTTTTCTTTCCCTTTTTCCGCTTTTCCCTCTTTCCCTTTTTTTCCTCTTCTCTCTTTCGTTCTTTGTCTCTTTCTATTTGTCTCTCTTTCTCTTTGTCTCTTGTTCTCTCTTTCTCTCTTTGTCTCTTTCTCTCTGTCTCTTTTTCCTTCTCTGATCTTTCTCTTTCCCTTTCTTTTTCTTGGATTTTGAGTGTGCGCAGGGTGCTCTTGCGGGAGGGTGCTTTTGGTGCAACTACTCATGATGTTTCGGGTGCTGTTTCAGAGTGTTGCGGGAAGTTGGCCCCGAGTTGCGAAGGGTGTCGTTGCAAGGAGGCGGCTGGGCAACGGTGTGATTGAAGGGTTTTGAGGCCTTCAGCCTGTCTCTCTTTGTTTGCCTCTACCACGACCACGCGGCGGGAGTTTTGGGGCGGGCTGTTGCCTCTGCACCCAGAATTGCGGCAGGGGATCGTGTGGACGCTGCAGATCATTGCCATGTTGCTTGCCGCCGGCTCCTTGGGCTTGCGATTGGCCAAGTCACTTTTGACAAGCTCGGCTGAGGTGTGCTCTGTAGCCACCGGGGCATTGGCCAGGCAACAAAACTGGGGAGGGACGGCTTCTCTCGCGCACCGTGCTTTGTCTTCGGGTTTCGAACGTTCGGTCTTCGTTCCAGGGATGCCGTGGTGACCTCGCTGGGCTTTCTGAGCCTCGCCTCCGTGGCGCTGGGCGCCGCGGTCGGCACCTGGCTCGAAGCGGAGTACTTGCAGAGGCGCCGTGCGGCTCCGATGGCCGAGAGCGGTGCCGACATCGCAACGGGAGCTTTAGTGAACGGAACTGCTTAGCTCAGGTTGCTGACAGAGTCAGGTGGCAGGTTCTGGCCAGGGTGCTTGTTGGGAGGTGCTGTGGCTGGTTATTAGGTGCAGATGTGGGCTGGTGTGGGTGAAAGCCAAAACAGGAAGCTGGAGAGGAGAAGGAACGGACTAATTCTTTGCCTGTGCGGATCTATGGTCTTCGAAGGTTCTGGCAACTCTACCGCTCGTCGAAGTACCTGCACATCCAGTCTGATCAGCCACAGAAGCTTCCAACAGCGACTCGACTGGAGTTTGGGCTCAATCCTTGGCTTGGAAGTACCGCCAAAAGCTGTTGAAGCCTTCTGAGGATGTTTTTCTCCGCTTCCCTGAGAGCACCAGACTGGATGAGAGCCGTTCCTTGGGTTACTTAACGAACTTTGGCTCGAAAGTGGCATTTTGGTGTTTTCGCGGTTTGCACCAGCTGGATGAAAGATCTGGGTCATTTGTGTTTCGGTCTCTTTGCGCAGGAAAGGCAACATCTACTGCGTGGCTCCCATTTTCGTGTCTGGCCAGATCGCTTCGGAGGCAAGGGCTGCGCCCAAACCAAAAGTTCAAACATGGCGACCTGGAAGAAGCGCGCTAGTCATTCCATCCGGCAGGTCCGGAATTTGCACCCAGAACAATACTTTTTCGGGGGTTCAAATATTGTGACTTGGGAGACACTCGAATACAGATTCCAGGGGGAGCCATAGGAATTCAGCATTCATGCATGCACGCACGCACGCTTGAGAACATACAGCGCCCAGCTTCACGCATCCCCAGCATCCACCTGCGCGGCCTGCATCCCCGGCAAGGAAACACTTGTAAATCCTCAGCATTCTTGGCACCGCCAAAACCTTGCATCGCTGGCATCATCCGCAACTGCCCCCGAATTTGCATCCGAGCAATTCCCGCAGCATCAGCCTCGATGCCGTTAGCCCAGCCGTACGCGCAGCGAATCCTCAGAATGCGACAAAAGCACGCGTGCGCAGGACAAATTTTAGACAGTAGTGCTCGCCCTGGAAAGCGCCAAGTTGTGGATGATGCCGAATCTGCATTTTCGCCACTGCTGGATCACTTGCGTCACCAGCTTAGACTTCTGCCCAGCTCAAGCCTGAACCTGTGTTTTGATACCGACCCAGCCAACCCAACGCAATCTGAACAATGCTGATGATGAAGGTTGCCGGCTCGTGGCGGCGGCCCAGTAGCTTTCAGTGCGCTCGCCAAAGTTCGCTTCTGGATTTAGAAGCTGACGCGCAGCAGATGGCCATGGGGGAACAAGGCTCAAAAGCACCGCGTTCGTGCCACGTGCGCAGCCATACGATTGCGCGCTGATGTAGATTTGCCAGTCACACCCCAGAGTTGAGAATGTTTGTTTGCGGGTTGCCTTGATCAGGGCTCCTTAAAAGATAGATTTTGCCCATTTGAAACATGGTTTTCCACCAAAATAAAGGGAAACCACCATTTACAAGGCAATGTTCACGTGTATCATGCAAGGATCCCTGTTGATGCGTGCTAGTTAGTCTGTAAGCTTATCAGTGAAATAGGGAGGCCCTTCCAGTTCTGCTAAGGCTCAAGTATGTTAGCCTCAAGTGTGTCCTTAGGTATTTGGGCTGAGTCAACAATTGCCATTGCAATGGTTGGAAAGGGAAAGCCCTTCTTCGAACGAAAAACAAACACCTTGGCAAGAAGCTCCTGCCGTGTGGAGGAGATCAGGCCACACTTTGGTGTAACGTGAGAAGCGCAAGGGTCTCAGAAAGCTCGGCCGCAGAGCAGGAACACGTTTAGATGATGTGTGGAGGCAGACCTTCGATGTGGTAGAGTGAAACACAGCCACCTTCGACGTACTGCGCAAGCGTTTCCTCCTCCACGTAGCAGGAGCGCCAGCGTTTGGGTCAGAGCCTTCAACGCCAGACTCTCTGCTTCCGTGAGGGAACATTCCGACATGAGGCTTCGGCTACTGCTTGGTAAGAACAACGTGCAGCGACGAGATCCTTTGTCGGCAGCGTTGGCGCGCGACTTTGCAGCCGGCGAAGACTCCTGCGCAACGAGGCTTTGCCTGCTGCGAATCCGCTCCAGAGCTATCCTGGGACCACTTGTCTGACCACGAGCCCGTGCGAGTTCGTGAAGGTTGCGAAGCCGGCAGAGGAAGTCCAAAGGTGGACGTGGCCAGGAAAAATCCTGTTGATGATTTCTCTGCTGGATGCAGCGCGTTTCTGGTTGAGGGTTGTTGACGGCAAGACCAAAGCGGCGTGACGCTGTTGGCAAAGGCCTGTTGCGCGAGCGCAGCCAATAAGTAGCTTCCTTGTCAGGGCAGACGCGTTCCAGGTGTTCATGGCAAATATGGTATGGATTGCTCGACGGACTACGTGGCTTGCATTTACGCAGGCTTGTGCTTGGCAAGCTGCATTGCGTTCGAACTATGCCCGCAAAGCCAGTTCATCTCTCGGAGCGAAAAGGGCCGTTCCGCTGGCTGACTTGTGACCTCTTTGAAGCGCCGCCTTGTTTTGGGTGTGTGGCAAATAATGTCTCGTAGCCGTGGAAGGCCTGGGTGTGTGAGTTGCAAGCTCGGCATGTTATGTCTTTTGTTTCGCGCCTTTGCGGAATGTGCCAGCGCTTGTGGTTGGCCCGGTGGCACTTTTCCGGGGAGACCCACATGCCCCGAATGCCGCGCATGCCAGAGTTTTTGCGCCTGCGTCTCATAACGAACTGCCTATGTTCAGGACATCGCGACACCTCATGCGATTCGCAGAGACCCTCTGCATGTTTTGGTTGGCTGTTTGTGCTAGCCTCAACCAAGAACATTTCTCTGGGTTGTTGATAAACAAAGATCTCCGCACGCCCCCGCTGCGTGGTAGGGGGGGGGGGTTAAAACTTAAACTTGAGCGTCAAACTGAGCCTCAACCCTGAAACCATAAATGTAAACCCGAAACTAAGGGTTTGAGGGCGACTTAAACCCTAAACCGCAAAACCCACAACCTAAACCCTAAACCTAAACCCTGAACTAAGGGCTTGAGGGCAAGTTGAACAAGCCCTCAACCTGAACCCTAAAACCTCAAAACCCTGAAGCCCGAAACCTAAGCCGGAAAGCGGACAGAGGGGTACTGGGCGAGCCACACGTGCTGTGGGCAGAAGTGCCTCCAACACGCTTCGAATGGAAACGCGCCCAAACTTCAAACTTCAAAAGTAAAGTCGTTGCCCTTCAGCCCGCGGAGAAACTGCTCGGGGGAGGAGTCACAGGATCGGCGGATATGCCTCACACGCATTAGTGGCAGAGTTGGAGGACTCCAGACTCCAGACAGGTCAACATTGGCTGTGTCGTGTTTGTGTGTAGAAACCATGCAGTATAGGATGGTTATCAGTCTTTGTATAGCATCTTGGCCATCCATCTTGAAACGCAACTCAATGTGACTGAGGGTTGCACTGGCGTTCAGACTGCCAGGTGTGGTACTGGGCAGTGGGCAAGAATTGCTGCGAAAGGCTCCTGGGCATGGCTTTGGATACAGCAATTGCCTGCAGAGCAAACGCTCCAACCCACTGAGGCATCAAATGCTTGTTTTCGGCAGATGGGCTGCTTCGCTTTGTTTTTTTGGGCACTTGCTGATTGCCTGAGAAGTGATTCTATTGCGTTGGATCATAGGGATGCCCACACCCTCCCCAGCAGCTATGGCTGGAGGAAAGGTTGGAAGGCTTGTAGTCCCAGTCTTCCTGCAAAGCTACTTCTTCAGCAAGACACGATTCAATACTCTTTGCCGGCTGCCTGTTTGCGAGGCATGATGCAAAGGATAGTAGAACTCTTGCGCTTAGGCACCAAACCAGAGTCATTTTTAGCGGTATATTTTGCAATATGGGTGTGGCTCAAAATTAAACAGGAGGGGGTACGCAGGTTTTGGTCCATGTTTCCACTTACCAGGGTTCCATTTTGGTACCGGTTTTTTGAGCCACAGCCATATTAGGCTTGTCATTGCAGTGGCAGCGCTCGATTGGCGCAGGAGACACAGCTTTGGTTGTGGACCGCAGCCACAACAAGCAGCTGTTCTTGCTGAGACACTGGACACTTTGCATGACCACGCAACATATTCTTGAAGGGTGCTTGTCATTGACATGTAAGCATAGACTGGCTAACTTGTACGTAACCAACAACTGTGCTGCATGCAGAGCTTCGCAGGATAACACATTTTTGCGGGCTGTCCTGCAAGCATCCTCAGTCTACCAAATCAAGGCAGGGTATGCAGCCTGGCGGGGCGGCACGTGCTTTTCATTTTTTCCATATCGCTTCACACACACAAATACTGGACTTCAACTTTCATTTTGTATTGTTTCTTTGCAAGCCGCTAAGCCGCTGCTATGATAAACGCAGGCATTTGTGCGTTTCCACTCACTCGGGCAGGCATCCGAAACTCCTCGTCTTGTGACTTTGGTGGAGCACCCGTCGCAGCTCCTTGCGGCCCGAACGATTCGGTTTAGCAGGGTCCTGCCCGCTGAATATTCTACAGCTTGTGCACTTTTTAGGTTGGTTTAAAGGGAACATCAACATCCGTTTTGGGGGGTCTGCCCATTTCGACGCATCTCCGGCGAAGATTGACGCGTTTGTGTTTTCCCAACAATGTGGACTCCAAGGCCGAGCTTTGGTATGCAGCTGGGCTGCAAGCTTTCGCTTGTCTCACAGGGCCGGCTGCCCGCTGAGGAGAGCACAAAGGTGGCGGTGCTCGCTGGCTTGATGCACCTCGCGGTGTGCATGCTGACTGTGCTGACTATGGCCACTGCAACCGCCTATGGTAGGAAATTGAAAGGCTGAACCAAGGCCCAAGGAGTTTATTCCGCACGGGTGGACCAAAATGTGTGATACCGTTGGTGCCGAGTGCCACAGGATTTACCCGAGTTAATGTCCGAGCGGGCCACTTCCAAATGGGAGCACGGCCTGGCTTTATTGCCCAGAAAAGCGGACCTATGCGCAAAAGCTTTGCTTCACATGATGCAGAGCTGCACAAAACACGGGTCATGTCGCAACACCGCTTTCTGTTGACGTTGGTACCCAGACCCTGCAACTCCATCGCGGCGCTGATAGCGTTGGCCAGCTCAGTTGCATTGTTTGCTGAACAATTTGACACATATGTTTAGTATGCGGCGAGGTCTTTGCTATGGAAAGGAGATCCAGCTTTCGTCTTTCAGGCGAGGTACTGCGAATCACACCCTCGTCACACTTGAATTGGCCGGAGCAGCTAGACCGAAGCATTCTCACACTGAGGACTATGCTGGTGGGTTTGATTGCGTTTTCCAAGGCCCGGTGAAGGGGTCAAACACGTTCTCCGAATTCAATCCATGAGGCAAAGGTGCCTGCTCCGGAGCATGGGCGTCGGTGCTGCTCTTCGCCGTGCCGGGAATGCTTGAGCCTTCGGAGCTGCACAAGTTGCACGTGACTCGAGCAGCTTCTCGCGAGGCTGTACACTTTCACGGAGCCCGGAACTTTGCTCGAGAACGAGTTTTCGAGTTTTCCCAGCTCAGCAGCGCTGAGGTTTCAGGTCATACAAGCGGCTTCAGCCACCGCTTACTTCTTGCTTGCCGCGCCTACGGCCTCAGAGCCTACCCTACAGTCAAGCACTGATGCCTTTTTTGAGGGCACCTACCTGGTTCTCCTTTTTGGTTTCCCTTCAAAGCAACCAAAACAGGGCTACCCTCAAAAACCGAGACATCCAAACGTCGAAAGGTTGCAGCTTCCGCTTCAAGACCTCGCGCTCTCCGCGCGCGACTCACTTTCCTTTGAGCCAACGAGTCGGTGGGCGATGGCCACAGGCACTGAACAGCTCCTTCGCCAGCTTTCGCCTGTCCATGCTGCCTGCTGTTCTTGCGGTGACCTGCGGGCTGGGTATGCGATGTGTGCTATTCTTGGCAGCACAGGTGAGTCTCCAAACTGAGTTTGCAATGAGCAGTACGGAGCTCCCTGGCAGGTTGATGCTGTATGGCTTGGGCTCGCCGGCGGAGACAAGAGAGTGACAAAACACAGCGGATTTGCGATTGGGGTCATGTGAGCAAGAGCTTGCAAAGGGCTGTGCCGGACGCTTCACGAGTATCATTGTCCCTGCATTCCATGCTGTTGTACGTAGGGCTCAGATTCTTCGCTTGTAGGCACCTCCTTCTCAGACAAACTAGCAAGACAAGAGTTCAAGCCAGAACTGCACTCTGCCATTTGTTCTCTATGCGCCGGAACATGTAGTGCTTTATGCCAAGCCAAGCTACCAGCAGATGCAGGCCTTGTGCTCGGCAAGCATGCATCCACACGGGGAAGCGGTCTCAGAAATAAAGCTCGGTGAGTGACAGCGGTGATGCTGATGACATTGGGCCAGGCTGGTGAGTCTGGTACTCGCAGTACTGTCAGTGATGTTGGTGATGTCGTTGATGCCTGTGATGTGCTACCGGTGCAGTGAACTCACCAGATTGACCAGGATCACCAGTGCATCTGCATCAGCAAGATTGCTCACCAGCATCACCATGACCGACATCGCCGCACAACCAGCATAGCAAGGGTGTCGATCACCAAAAACCATGAAGGGTCCCATGATCCATGACTCATCACATTCTTCCTGGAAAGTACTTGAACTGCAATAAGTCACGTAATACTCCAGAGTTGTATCAAGTTATCTTGAAATCACTAGTGCTCAGAGCTCTATTTTTGTGCGTTGAGGAAGAGCATTGGCTAGATGTCAGACTTTTTTGAAAAGCAAGGGTTTGCATCATCAGGCTCCGGATGTTTTCTTTTTTCTTCACCTTTGAGGTCCCTTTAATTCAGCATCGCTGGTTCGAAGTGGAATCATGGGCCATACTCCCAAGACTTGTTCTGGGCTCGTGACCCATTTGACGTTAGCCGTGGATGTCCGCCAGCGCAGAATCCGATCCTCTCTGAGAAGCTGCCCCGCTTCGATCTGCCTGACGCCAGCGATGCCGAGAAGCATCGCCGGGATGCCCGAAAAAAGGGACAGAGCAAGAAACAGAGGTTTCTCAAAATAGTGGTCCCCTAAAATGGTTGGTTTGAAATACTAACCAACAAGGCAACCACCATTTTGAGAACCACTCAAACGGAGCGACTGCTCAGGCCAAGTGCTAACGTTCATTTTGACACTGCTTTTGAGGTGAGTGGGCCTGGCCCTCAGTTCGTTTCGTGGAAGCTTCAAGGAAATGAATCGCATTGTCAGGCCGAGAAGCTTTGGTACCGAATGGACCGCGATCGCAACGTGGCTTGCAGCCATGCGCTTCTCATTCGCAGCTTTGCTATGGGAGGGCATGCCCTGCTCCTGAAGCCCATGTTTGAGACTTCCTGTTCGTTGCGTTTAAACGTATGCTGTGCTTTGCTGCTACATCTCTGATTGGCTTCTTTACAGTGATTGATTGCAGCTGCCTTTTTTGAAGGCTGCTGCTTTGCCCTTTCTGCAACCGACAATTGCTACGTCTTTGACAGTTCGGATTGAATCTTACATGTTATCGTTTTTGTATATGTCCGGCAATCTGCATATGGGCTTCAGGTGCTGGGAATCGTGATTCACCGTTCTTGTTGCATACGTGTCGGACATCTCTGTGATGCAGTTTGGGACGAGCGAGTTTGTTCTTGCTGTGCAATCTGATAAAAGCCCCAACATGAGTTAGAAGCGGCTGTGCAGACACTGCAACGGTCACGCCCAGGGCTGCTTTAAGTGGATGGTGTGCATGTTACTTGAAGCCTCCGTGGTTTGTCAGTGCGGACGTTGCAGCAATCCAAGGCAGCGGGACAGTCACAAGAGAGGAGCCTGCCTGGACACATGTTGCAACAGTGCAGACAGCATTGTCGTGGGTGGGGTTCTTGTAAGCTTAAAGTTGAGAGGAGCTCGACTGTGATGAGTTCCAAGACATTCTAAAGGCGTTGAACGCTTTGCACTTGCCAAGCGACCGAATCTGCAGAGTCAAAAATCAGTGATTCGGAGGCTACCATTGCTCCGGGGCGTAGGTGCCCAAGGATGAACTGTCTAGTTGCAAACTGCCGATCTACTGCTTCAAAGAGTAGTTTTGTCTGCAAACAGATATGTTCCATGTGTTTTGGAGATCAACGGACAAAGCTGCATTTCAGCGCCCGAGGTTCCAACACAAACGCTTCGTATGCCCGGGCAGAGATCAACGTCTCGCAGGCAGGTCCGCATGCGAAAGCGCAGACGGGACTAGCTGGCTTGCCTTTGCAACTTTGCTGCGCAGTGCTCCGTTTTCGAGGCCCTTGATTTCTGCATGCGTAAAGCCGCGCAGAATACAAGTGGAGCCTTGGCTGCTTTTGCCTTGTGTTTTGTTTGCCCTTTCCTCTTTCGGCCTCGGTGCCTGGCTCGACTGGCAAGGTGAGCTTTCCTTCGAAGAGTTCAGCTCCTTCCTGAGGGCGCTGAGCTCAGCGTTGCGCATGCCGAATGGAAACCAGAGTCGTCCCTATTTCGTGCGGTTGAGTTTTCTCAAATTGGCCCCCCTTTTGGTTGGCATTTGGAGGGAAACCAAAAGGAACCCACCATGTTAGAGGACCCTATTTTGAGAAGCACTCATGAGTGAGAACCGGTCTGCCATGATGCAAGAGCAGGTACTTCGCGCAGCTGGCGCAAGCAGCCGCAAGTCAGACCTCGTTTTTGCGCTTGCAGCTCAGCCATGCTACCGTGCTCATTTTGCAACAGCCTTTCTACAGGCTTTTCGATCTCGACCAGAGTGGGGACTCGCTGGCCTGATTGCTTGTGGGCACTCCAAGGCTATGCCCTCAGATAGGGTTGCACATATGGGTATTAGTACGGGTCAAAATGAAACCACCAGAGGAGCGCAGGTTTTAGTCCACGTTTCCATTGATCAGGGTTCCATTTTGGGTAACTATTTTTGACCCACAGCCATATGATAATGGTGTATATATATATATATATGTATATATATATATATATATATATGTATACACATACATGTTTGATGTATATATATATATATATGGTACCCCCGCATGGACCCTGGTTTGGTCGTGCCTTTTTTGCCTAGTTGGTTTGGTGGCAAAATTGGGGGGCCCGGGGAAGGGGGGGGCATATGTATATATGCATATGTGCATACATATGTAATGTACGCAAAGATGTCAACATCTGCTGACAGAGTCTGCATCCATCTCAGAGTATTGGGACAACTTTGGAATTCTTTGGAATCTTGAATCTTGAATCTTGAATCCATTTTTTTTTTACTCCAGGGTTGTCCCAGTGCTCTAGGTGTTCAATACATACTTCTGCAACCAAGTATGCGCACCCATCTGCAGTCATATGCATTTCTCCCAGCTCCCGCAATTTCTGGATTCAAAGTGAGAGGACAAGATTCTCGGAAAATATGTCAATCTTGAATATTCAATCCAGTGGTCAAGTACTTTCGAGGGTTTAGAACAACTTGAAAGTTTGTTGGGGCTGGCCCAACTTGAATGTTGTCTGTGTTTGGCCAGGATCGTCGATTCATAGGAAAGACTTCTGCGTAATCTTCAATCTTGAATCTTCCATCCAGTGGTAAAATACTGTCAAGTGCTTAGCGATCCAGTGGAGCCGCTTTAAAGTTCTTAATTAGACAAACTTTCAAGTGCTTTCGGTGAGCGGTTTGCTTTATGTAAGCTATGCTCATGTTGACCCTTTTCCAGGAGGTAAAGGTAGGTGTAATGCTGAGAACACTGCATGTTACAGCATTTTATGACGAGGATCATGAGGGGTTCTATATGTATGTGTGTATGTACGCATGTATGTGCTGTAATGTAATGCAACGTAACGTAAGGTAATGTAATGTAATGTACTGTGCTGTAATGTAACGTAATGTAATGTATGTTCTGTATATATATATATATATATATGTTCGCACACCGTCACCCCCCCGGAACTACCTGTCCACCTCTGCTCATCTTCTTCCTCCGCCTCTTGAGATAAAATGAATTGCGATGTCCTGAACAAATAAGACTATACATACAATTGATGCTAGATATTTGAGAACTAGGATCTGTTTAATTGTTATCATCAAATGCTAATTGAATTGTGTTCGTATTAGATTAAATTTGGTACTTGAATGATATTTGGGAATACACTCCTATCTAATTTCTTTTGTTAAAGATTAGTTGGAGTTTACCCGAAGTTATGTTTACATTTTCATGTAGCTCCTATTTGGAAAGCATTTGTCTATTTTAACGCCTCCGGCTCAGGCCGCCGACATTACAGGCCTGCTTTCTTATTTGCGTCCCTTTGGAATTGACCCCTTGCCCCCCTTCCCCTCTAAGATCTTTGCCCCCCTTTCCCTGTTGAGATCCTTTCCCCCTTTCCCCCCTAAGGCCTTTTCCCCCCCTGAGATCTTCTCCCTTTTCCTCCCTAAGATGTTTTCCCCCCTTTCCCTGTTGAGATCCTTTCCCCCCTTTCCCCCCTAAGGCCTTTCCCCCCTGAGATCTTCTCCCTTTGCCTCCCTAAGATCTTTTCCCACCTTTCCCTATTGAGATCCTTTCCCCCCTGTCCCCCTAAGGCCTTTTCCCACCCTGAGATCTTCTCCCTTGTCCCCCCTAAGATCTTTTCCACCCCTTTCCCGGTTGAGATCCTTTCCTGCGTTTCCCCCCTAAGGCCTTTCCCCCCTGAGATCTTCCCCTTTTCCTCCCCAAGGTCTTCTCCCTTTCCCCGAAAGATTTTAGGGAGGAAACGGGGAAGATCTGGCCAACAGGGAAAGGGGGGAAAAGATCTTAGGGAGACCTTTTTTCCCGAGATCTTCTCCCTTGTCCTTCCCAAGATTTTCCCTACTTTGTCCCCCAAGATCTTTCCCTTCCCCCCCCCGCCCGAACTTCCCTAAATCTTTTTCCTCCTTTTCCCTCGAAGATCTTCATTTCCCTTCACTTTCCTTCACTTCGGCTCATGTCTCTTTATGTCTGTTTTTGTTCCCTTTCTTTCATTTCACTTCATGTCATTCATTCCCATGCATTTTCCTTAATTTTGAGATGTTCCTTCACCTGCATGGGCAACATCCCCAGCATCACTTGCATCATCCGCATCCTTGGCAGGCGCTAATGCGGATAATGCAGGTGATGCTGGCGATGTTGGCAGGAGTGAAAACGGACCTGGGGGGAATCGAGCACCCCAATGTTTTTACGCAACTGTGTTCTGCACGTCTTAAAATCACTGCGTGGTACGTGGACCCCCCCCCGCAATAGTCTGAAACCGTGCCCCTGCATGGGTAAGGGGAGGGGTAACAGGTAAAGAGGTATCATGTGCGACACGTCGGGGGCTCCAAATTATCAGGCTTTGGGGGCCCAACGTTGGAAATCTCGACACTAAAACGAGGGTCCATGAAAAAAGGGGGGGGGGTTGCGCATGTATATATATATATATCTATAATTTCTGGGCTGCGGCCTCTAGCCGGCTACGCCTCTTTGAAGTTATGCGTATCCTGTGCTGTGATATCGTTGGTTAGGTTAATCATGTTGCCCGCCCCAACCCCAGATGATGCCGGGGATGCCAGCTTTCTGGGCCCCAGCCGGGCCCCAACCCAGAAGGCTGACATGGGGTCGCGCGCGTGCGCGCCCAAGGCCCCAAAAAGAGCAGCCCAAAAGAACAGCCCGCAAGCCAGCCCGGAAACGCAAAACACCGTAAATAGCCACTTATATCCCTCTGATACCTTCTAAAAGCAATGCTTCATGGGTTGAGAGGCTTTTTGGAAGGAAATCTTGCGTCACCCAGACCCAACCCCAGACCCTGATGATGTCAGTCGCATGGCCTCAACCCTGCATATACGCGATGTTTTGCAAGGGTTTCCCACAAGCAAGCAAAACCGCAAGCCGAGCTGGTGATGCAGAGGTGCCGGATTTAGGCAACGCATGACGACCAAGTGACGAGGGTCGGCAGCGCACGGGTGCAGCCCCTATAGCTGAAGGGCAAATTGCCTAGCGGCGACATGCTACCCCAAAAAGCGTAGCCGGATTTACACGCTGACGCGACACAGCCGGCCACCGGGCACCTTGCCCTTCCCGTTGTTTCATTTCCTTTTCCTTTAATGCCCGCTAGTTCCCGGAATTTGAACTTCACTTCCTTTGCATGTCTTCCCTGCATCTCCGACAGTTTCCTGGCATTTCCCTTCACTTCCTCTCGCTTCATTTCCGTTTCAGCTCCCTGCATTTCCTTGAACGCCGCGTCATTCGCACGCCTTTCCCTTAGTTCTCTGTTCTCGTGACTTCAACCTCGCTTCCCATTTCACGTCAGTTTCCTGCGCACCCCTTCATTTCTATTCAGTTCTCTTCGTTTCCCGTAATTTCCAACAATTTCTTTTCGTTCCCGTCCTGCGGTTCCTTCGCGAATATGCACAACTTACGCCATTTGCTTCGTTGTATCCACGACCATGTTGTGGATACCATGAACTTCCACCTCCTCAATGGAGAAAAACACTTTCCTTACAGCCCTCAAATGACCACCCTCGTCGTCAATATCGTCATCATCATCATCATCGTAGTCATCACCATCTCTTTCTATACTACACATTTCAAGTGTGGCGTTAGGCACCGTTGGTGATGCAGAGGATGCAAAGTCATGTTTTTTTTTTTTAAAAAATCATGCCTGCTAGCGATGCTGAGGATGCGTCATGATGACTATCACCCCAGTTGAAACGCAAAAGATGCGTGGACATGCTTATCATGATGACTGCTGGTGGTGCTCAGGATGCGTCACGACGCTGATCTTCCGATTTGTCATCAATCTCGTCATCATCATCATCGTAGTCATCAGCAATCTCTTTTTATTTCTATACTATACATTTCAAGTGTGGTTTTAGGCACCGCTGGTGATGCAGAGAATGCGATTCTCATCATCTGCTGGTGACGCTGAGGATGCGTCATGATGATTATCACCCGATTGGAGACGCAAACGATGCATGGACATGATTATCATGATGACTGCTGGTGATGCTCAGGATGCGTCATGACGATTATGCGTGATGACGATTATCAGCCGAATTGACATGCTGCAGATGCGTGGAAATGATTATCGTGATGCTTGCTGGACTGTTACATGATTATTATGATGACTGCAGGACAATTATCATCACAGTCATCATTGTCACCCTTGTCGTCAATATCATCATCATCATCATCGTCATCATCGTAGTCATCAGCATCTCTTTCTATTTCTACACTATACATTTCAAGTGTTATCGTGGATACAACAAAGCAAACGACCGAATTTACGCATTTTGGAGGCTATGTTGGCTCCGAAGTTCGTTGTGTCCACAACATGGTCGTGGATACAACGAAGCAAATGGCGCAATTTGTGCATGTTAGGAGGCTCTCTGCAGGTGTGGAAACTGGTTGTGTAGGTCTCCAGTGGAGTATCTAGGGAATGATGGTGGGCCTGGAGGGCTTGAGGACGGTCTTTTCTCCGTAAGGGAGTTGGAAGTTCGTTGTCTCCACGACCATATGGTGGATACAACAAAGGTGTTTTCTCCATTGGGGGGGAGTTGGAAGTTCGTTGTATCCACGACCATATGGTGGACACAACGAAGGAAACGGCCCAATTGTGCATATTGGGAGGCTACGTTGGCTCTCTGCGGGTGTCGAGACGGATCTTCTTTTTCGGGTCGAGACGGATCTTCCTTTTCGGGTCGAGACGGATCTTCTTTTTTGGGTCGAGACGGATCATCCTTTTCGGGCCGAGACGGTTCATTCCACCTCCAGCCCGGCGAGGGTGAC